TCCTGCACACTGAGCTCCTGCAAGACACGAAATGGGGACGGATGGTGAAACTGGGGAACAGTATATTCTAGTATAGTCTCCTGTGTGACACTGCTAAAAAGGAAAAACTATCTTGCGTTAATTGAATTTCAATGTTTGTCTCACTGCAAGTAGGTAATAATATTTAGCTAAAGAATATGGAGATGTTATTGCCATGTTCATTTGATCTTAGTTTACACCTAGTCAGCGAAAACTGCACTATTTGTTAAAAGGAACCAACACTTAAAATGTTTTTAAATCAGGAAACTTCAAGGACAATTTACAGGTGCACACTAACCTCCGACGTTTGTTTGGTGCGTTTGCAGCGGGGGAGCCTGGTTGGTTTTGCTTGTCCAATATGGACTGCGGAGAGAGACACTGCTTTCAGTACTTAAAAAAAAAAAAATCCATAAAGTAATTTCATGCAATACCAGGTTTAGACAAACTAGCTCACATTTGCTTGTTTCTGTGATAACTCCTTCAGGAGCTCCTCCACGCTTTCATCGGCAACATCAAATGGCGTTTGACCCTACAAAGTAAAAAAAACAATGTGATGAAAAGGAAATTAAAAAAAAAAAACATATACAGTAAGTTCCTCTACAAAGGCTTTGACTGTTATGGTAAATTCTGCTTCTGCAAATGAAAGCAGACTCAATAAAGACATTATGTAACAAGAAACGATTTTCTTGATATTTACAAATCATACCGCATTACTGCGAGCCTCCATATTGCACAACTGTTCAGCAAGGATGCGACAGGCCTCCCCCTGACCCCAGTGTGCTGCAGCATGGAGAGGGGTCCAGCCATCAAGGTCCATAGCAGACACATCCAGACCACATTGACACAGTATCCTGAATAACACATAGAAAATAATATTTCAAATACGTTCACATGTTTTATCATATCCAGTATGACAAATAGTAGGAGATGCTTACTTGAGAGCCTCTAGATAGCCTTTGGCTGCAGCCACATGCAGTGGGGTGGCCCCGGTCCTTGGGTGTCTTACATCAGCTGGTGAGCCCTCAATTAGCCAGGTCCGGGCGTCCGTCATTATCTGTTCCTCCTCCAGCCGCTTGGCTGCCTCCAAGTCCACACCTGGACACAGATAGAAAATGTCACGGTTAGGCATCTTGCTCGGGGACACTTTGACCCGGGACACGTAGCAGCCGGCAACCTTGCGATTACTGGCGTACCCTTTCTACTCCACGCGCCACGGTCGCCCCCCAAAAAACATGGAAGATACCCATAGAAACAAATTAACCTAGTCTTCACATTGTTTCATTTTTAAGATTATATTATTGGTATCAATCACAACAATATTTAGGGCTTACAGTTGGTTTAAATGCTACACTAATAAAGAGCATTATACTATTTGTAGAATTAGATTCCAATGATTTATTGTGTGTGAATGTGGTCAAAACTCTTTGCTTGTCTGCTTGCTGCACATAAAGGGATAAACCAACCCGTATTAAAGGGGTAGTCTAGCTGTAAACGAAACACAAACAACACTTCAATTTTTTGGGACATTGACGTCATGAACAGACATTTGAAGCATGGTCCAAAAATCTCAGTAGAAGCTTTGAATGTGAGCAAAAGATAAAAATGACATTTGGTGTATCCCTACAGATCACAAATGATCTGTCATGAGATCCAAAATAAATGGGTGCAGGATTTTAACCACCAATAAATGATAAAGGGGTGGCAGGCAGTGAAAGCGTGGCACTCACCCTGTTTTACAGTGTAACGCTGAAGGAGGGACTCAGTGGTCTCATCCAGAGCAATGTCCAGTGGAACGTCACCATCACAGTTCACAGCAGAGACAGATGCACCTTCCCGCAGGAGAAAACTGTCAAAACAAACAAGGACGGAGTGAGAATCCATTTAACTGCAGAAACAGTTACACAAGGACCACCAATTCTAGATAGAGACACCAAATCCCATTACATTACCCTCAAAGCAACGCCAAAACGGCTTTATTTATTGAACAAGAGACTGTAGTGAAAAAAACAATTCATCAACCACTAAATGATTTGAGCTTCATTTATTTGTGCGGCAGACCAGCCCACTGTGCCAAACTGGAAAACAATGTCAGTATTGTCAAATGCATAAATACTTTGGCACCCACGCTGCCTTCTGACGTCTACAAAGCATTACACAGCTGTTACGCTGTGGCATTCTGCTAATTGTAGAGAGATTCACTACTCACTCTACAATGTCACTGTACCCACAGGACGCAGCGACATGCAGCGGTGTCCATCCCTCACTGTCAACCTGGTTTACGTTGGCACCTTGTTCCAAAAGGAAGGACACGATATCCATGCTGCCATCTATGCAGGACTGTGTGGACGAGAGGAAAACAAAAAGTAAAACGATGAACGCGACTATAAATGTTTCTAATTCATCTCAGCGTCGACCAATCGCTTTGATTAAAGCCCCGCCTCACCTGGTGGAGGGCAGTTATTCCATCGGCATTGGAACAGTTGATGATTTCTGCCACCTCCTCCCCCATTCTTGTTTTGGTTTCTTTAGCCTCTTTCAGCATCAACTGGGCCTCCTCTGTGTCTCCGCTGGCACAGGTCGCCAAGAACTCCGCAGCCCGGTCAAACCTCACCCTTTTCCTACGGACAGAGTACACAGCTAGGTGACCTGCCTGGTTCTCGGTTTTGACATTTTAAAAGAAGAAACTCCACTTGTTGTGAAACGCTTCACAAAAGGAATAGACAAAAAATAAAAAACCTTAAAATACAGGCACACAGTAGTTTAATTATAGGGTAAATTTGGCAATATTATTTGGCTTTGTTCCTGTCAACAAATCCAATGAAAATACTTCAGCCAAAAATGCATTTTTACAATCTCTTCATATGTTCAGACATAACTATCCTATCAGGGGATCTTTGCATTTCCAAAGCCAGCAAGTCTGCACTGAAGACTTACATATTTGGAGATGTCATATGTACAAAGGCCTAAATAGTGCTCTCAAACGGCTGGTATTTCTGCAATTCAGTTTGTGTGCAATCGATTCAAAGTGAACCACAGTAGGCTAGTTTATTGAACTGAGTTGGATGATGTCACCAGATGCAACAGTGGGACTAACAATCGCAATCTATGGGGAGAAAAAAAAGCTAGAGCAGGCTTTTAAACGCAATACTTGCTTTAAGATCAGTTTATCGGGGCTTGTGGCTTCTTCTCGTAGGTTTTGTTGACAGTATGAAAAAAGGAAACAACGTTAAAAAATGCAGCAATATTTCCAGCAAAATAACACCTATAAAGCAGCCTCGAAAAATGTCAATAGGCGAAAATGGGTTAAGCAACACAAGCGACAAGCGGACCCTCACCAGCACTGACTGTTAGGACCTGCTAGCTAGCTAGCTAGCCACTACAAGTTATGGCCACACAATTAACGACCATCGACCAGTGACAGTTGAGTAAATGTTATTTAGATGAACGGGGCCGGATTGATGCACTTTGAAGACATGTAAATTATGTTATTTCGTCAACCCCCCCCCGCCCCCCAGTCCACTTCCGAGCACATCAGTCCTCTTTTAGTAAACTCTTCAGATGGTGAGATAGCGGTAAGCTAGCTGGGTGTTAGCCGGTTGTTATTTTAAAACGTTTCGACGTAACGCTTCCTCACCGTCGTTTGAGGAGGGGACTGATTTCATCAGTGGCCACACGGACCGACTGGTCCCTCGGCGGGTCGCCGAACTGGGCCTCCGGCTCCCCTGCTCCGTTCTGTGCATTGCCCCGCCACCTCCGCCTCGGCACGGCCGACGCTTTGTTGGTACACGAGCCGGCCCAGCGCTTCAGCTGCTCCCGCCGCTTGGTCCTCGCCGAGTCCCCCATTATTAATCCGAGGAGGACTCAGTTATTAAAAAATAAAACATTCGCTGGCGGGGAACGACACACCCTCCATGTGTACACTTCCTGGTTCTTGCTGTAGCTTCGGGTGAAGAGGAAGCCGCTGCTCGTGTTCGCTGGCGTCGGGAGCGCGCAAAACTGCTCAGGCCGGTCTGACGTCACCGCCACCGTTGTTTAGTACAACTAGACCACGTAGCGATAAGAGGGAGACCGTGGATAAAATAGACCACAGACCGATGATTAGGAGGGTTTGCACGATGGAACCGGTGTGTGGGGGTTGAGGGGGAATGTAATGAGGCGCGATGTCTCGGAAGTGTCCTCACGCTGATGCACACACAGTTAACACACCACGTCTATTTGTTGTGTAACGGTTCAGCATAAAGGGCACGGAGATAAACACACTTGATGGGCAGTGTTTTGTCCAATTTGAGTCAAAACTAAATAATTTTGGACATGATGTGAAACAACATTATAATAACATATCCAGTTACATTACCATACTGTTTTTAATTGAATTTGAAAGATATATTACCAAATTATAATCTAAACATGTTAAACAAACTGTTCCGTAAAATATCATAAAATAGGCATGGACATAGCAGGGGTCCTGGTGAACAAGAATACTGTGACACTTTTCTAACAAACATTTAAGGATTTGCTTTAAACAAAGTTTGAATATTGGTTATATTCTACAGTCATAAGGCCACCATGGGTGTTTAAAGAGAAGCAGTCAATATCAGTAAAAGCAATCCAGTTGTTAATCCGATGTGCTCCCGGTTGAGTGGTTTGTATTTCCTAATAATGAGGTGAGTGTTCATAATCTGCACACTGCAGACGATCACCACATCCATGTCGGCACATAACGAGAGTAACGGAAGACCACAAATAACCATCAGTGAAAAGCCTGTTTTAGATAAAGAGGCAGGTAAATACCAGAAGGCAAAATGCAACAGACAACAGAAAATATTGCTAATACAAAAAAAATGTCATGTTGTAATTTTCATTTGTAGTTCAGCAGGCCAATTTTCCTCAAATATGCATTCTGACCTGAGAATCAGAATTGATTTAAACAATCAATTTGAGGTCTGAAATCTCTACAAGATAGCTTGTAAACATTCCAACTTGAACACAGGGTCAAATTTCATGTGCTTTTTTTCCCTGTGACTCTTTGTGCGCAGCACCACAACTCGTCAGTCCGTAACCAGCGGAAATAAGAGAGCCATTGTTGGAAGTAAGTAAGAATCTCGTTTGCATTTATTTGTCCTGTTCCAATATTGTGTTGGTGAAAACTATGAAGTAGTCCATGTGTTTCCGAATATGTTGTGGTTGTAATATTTCATTGAAAGCTCTACGTGAAAACAGACACCCTTTGAATGCTGGTTATTCTGAAAAGGAGATGAGGGTTTCTAGTTTTCTACCCATGCTTATGAGACTCTTTAATAGATTGACCCCATGATGTTTCTGTTGTTGCCACTCTGGCATTAATTCTTCTGGAGTATAATATCTGCGTTGGTGTCTTTGCAGGTGTTGTTCTGCTATAAATGATCCACTGTCATTCTCATTTGGGAATAAAAGAGTGAGATGAACATTACAAATTCAGCATCAATCTTTGAAAGTGAAAGGATTTTTCTGTTTTTAGCAGTTCTTGGGAGACAAGAGAGTCCATTGAGTTATATCACCTCACTCCACTGGAGTTTCCTCCACTTTCACATGTATCAGAATGGCTCGGCCCTCAAACAAAGCAGCACACGCCGTCCCCCCTCACACCCTGACTCGGCTGGCACGAGAGTGGCTCGCAGAGGACACGCCAAACTTTGACCTGGCAGGAGTGTCCGTGGGGTCGCAGGAGGTTGAGGCGTGGTTGCTGTGTAAAACCCCACGCAGCATCCTGGCGGGGAGCCCCTTCTTCACAGCAGTGTTCGCCGAGGTTGGCTGCAGGGTGGACTGGATTCATCAGGAGGGAGCTGAGATTGGTACGAATCAACACATTGTCTTCCAAAGCACCAATATACTAGATTAGAAGTATATTGTCCTTTGAACAAAAGATACAGGACTCAGACTCAACTACATGGTGTAGCTAGAAAGTTTTATCATGGAAATCTATCCATGCGGTTGACTTAAAAGTAAGAATATTTCAGTTTGTGCGGCATCACTTTTATGTAAGTTTGGTGTCTCTCGCGAGTCTCCCAATTTAGTGACAGGGCAAAACACTTTAACCCTGTTTAATCAGCTCAAGATGCCTCTGGTTGCCTTTTCAAAGGTCGACGACTAGCTGCTTGGACCTGCATGTATAAGGTTCTGGTCATTTACATTACTTACGTGGCACGCTGCACCTGTGTTACTTAAACTTGCTGCCGTCTGGTACCTGGCCAAGTTCAACCCACACTCCCCTGTTACTCCGGACCCTGCATGGGTTTCCACTGGCTGTTAACTGGTTATGGTTCTGGTAACTCCAAGCTCTAAACGCTCCAAAGTTTTTGCCTCACCTTCACAGGTCAGGATTCCGTCACGTTGACGGCTGTGGTTCGAGGCCCAGCCAGGTGCCTCCTCCTCGGGGAGAGGCCGGCTCTCAACTGCCTGGCCCGGGCCTCGGGGATCGCCACGCGCTCTTCTCTGCTCCAGTCAACCGCCACAGCCAGAGGTTGGCCCGGAGAAGTGGCCGGCACGCGCAAAACCACACCGGGCTTCCGTCTGGTGGAAAAGTACGCCATGCTGGTTGGCGGCGTGTCCATGCATAGACAGGACCTCAGTGGAATGGTGATGCTGAAGGACAACCATGTCTGGGCATCAGGAAGTATCACACAAGTGGGTGGCAACAGTTTTTTTTATTGAGAAACGAAAAACAACAAACTTATGCAAGTTTAGCATGTGAGAAAGAAAAAAAGGGGGCATTTAAATTTGTCATTTTTATTAAAAAAACAATATCCACTGTTGAAATTTAATCACCAATCTGTTTCTAGCATTCACATATTTTATTTTCAAAAGCATGTATTTTAGGATCAAATTAACTACATTAAGAAAAAATATGTTTTTTTTACAGGGTTCATGGCATCAGTCTGGCAGGTATACTTGAAAAAAAACTCAAAAATAGCCACCTGATCATTTATTATTTTCATAGAAAAAGATTTTGATCCAACCATTACATCATAATTACAATGGAGAGTTCAAAAAGGTTAAAAACTCAAATGACTGTTTATGGACATAAGTGGCGTCTTTTTAGGGAAGTGTGGTGTCTCTACTGTTGAAACCAGTTGACCGAGACGTGCAACTGTCCTAAAGCATCATGTGCTTCAAACTACAAAATATTACTACTGTTCGTTCTCTAGGCAGTGAAAGCTGCCCGGTCGGTGTCCGGCTTCAGCAGTAAGATTGAGGTGGAGTGCCGCTCTGAGGAGGAGGGCAGGGAGGCGGCTGCAGCCGGAGCAGACATTGTTATGCTGGACAACTTTCGACCTCGGGTAAAGATTATGAAAATAACACAAGCGGTCACTTCTTTTAATTGCCTGGTTTCAACCTACCCTCCCACTCAACCACTAAATCAGGCAATGCATCTCTACTCCACATGTCTCTCACTGTAGGAGCTCCATGTTGCAGCTTGTGCACTGAAGAAGGAGTTCCCAACACTCCTGATCGAGGCCAGCGGAGGAGTGACTCCAGAGAACTTGGCTACGTATTTTTCCCCGCATGTCAACATTATTTCTCTGGGCTGCATAACACAAGGATGCCCCGTTGTCGACTTTTCTCTCAAGGTTCAAAAAGGTTGATGACAAATCCCAGAAAAATGTTGCTGACTTTTCTTTTCACATCAGCTATCTTCTGTTTCTAATGGTCAAGCAACCACTAACATCCCGTTTCCTCACTGTGATTAAAAATAAAATGAAAACAGAAACAAACTTGTACTGGGATCAATGACAATTGTTTGTATTTCTTCAAAAAGAAAATATTGTTTGCTGCATTGCCATAGAGTCACAGTGATATCAAATAAATACAGAATAAAGGGACAATTAAGGAAAATTAAAAGGATTTTATAGGTTAGCAGGCAATCTATGATATGGCCCAAAGGAACATTTTTGTTGTTACCTAATTTTTCCAATATTGGTGTCAAGCAACGTCTGAAATTTTGTCCGTTTTCCAGGTTTTGAGGTTTAACATCTGGTGTTACTCCACAAAATAGAGATGAGATCTATCAATTGAATAATGCCACAATCACCTTGAATCTACATCAGACCATTGACTTGATTATTTTCCCCCCTTTTCAGTAAAATGTTCTTCTGTTGACTCAGTTAACGATATATCCACAAAAAGGACTGCATCCGAATTTGATCAGACATTTTACTTGAGGAACTAACCAACAACACCCATAACAATACGGTGTAAACTGAGGGATTTAGGAGTTAGAAAAGAAAACGGAAGAAGTAGAATTAGATTTTTTCTTTTGCTGACAACTTTTCTGTGCAAGCAGAAGTTTCACAACCACCTGCTACGGAAACTCCCCAGTTTAGAAGCAAACACACACAGGATGTAAAGTCACATGTCTTGAGAACAAGCTGCAGTGCTGTAAGACTAAGAGAAGAGTGATGAGAAAAAATGCACGGGCGGCGTCGCATCTTTCTGCTCACCTATATGGTGGCTGTTGGTAAGATCTCAATTTTTTCTAAATGTGGGGGGATTGTTGTAGACAATATTCATTTGTAAAAGGAAGGATACGGACGTTTAATAATTGAGGAGAACGACTTGATGGTTATTTTGGGTGAGCTCCTTTTGGGGGGTAAAATAATAAAACAAATATTGCATTGCTTGTAAAGTTGTAGAACCATTTAATGTTTTTTTTTGTTTTTTTATTTAAATGTTCATGATACAGATATACATACTCAATCATTTGGTTCTCAAAATTCAGTTTGATGTAATACTGAGCTTTTGCAAAAGCTCAGGAAATCGGTTGTGGTAAACCTACTTTTTACCCTAGAATGGTGCCAATAGAAATGAAGAAAATGTCGGTTTTATAAAGAAACAAATTGTTTTTAAAATGTTTATTCTTTTTAAATGTTAAGCAGCACAACTCTTTATTTGCCAGACGGCAGCAAAAACAAACAAACATACATATTCCCAAACTTCAGAACAAAATAACAGAAAATGACTAACATCACAACTTAACAAAGTCATTTAGGTGAGAGGATGTGAATTGTCAGCTCGTTAATCATCGATCTCGCTGATGGGTGGATGTGACCTTCTATGGTAGCGTCTGTGTGGAGTGGAAATTCAGATGTGTGTGTTGTGTAGTGTTAAAGCGCCTTGAGTTGTTGGAAGACTTAAAAAGAATAGCCGTACTTTTGCCATTCTATTCAGTAAAATTTGAATATTTTATCTTTTTCTCACAAATTGCAGCTATCACTGTCTCTTTGACTTTTAACATTGATACAAAAAATCCAGATGTCCGTAAGGGGGAAAAAAAGGATTTCTTTGGATACAAAGTGCTTCAAAGTGCGGACAAAAGGTAAGTTTCATATGATGAGTAGTGTTTGCAAAATCAGTTATGAAGTTAGAGAGAAGTGTTTCACTTTCTTTGGTGACAACTGTGGTGGTTATGTAAGGCCAATAAAATAAATGAACCACCCAACAGGATAATCGTAACTGCACCGCTGCAGCTAAATGGATCCGGGGGAATATGTACATTCAACCAAAACGAAACAAACAAAACTGACTGCTTCAACGTAGAAGGTATATAAATCTCATATTTTTAATATTATACGATGGATCCTTCAATAAAAAATGTTTTTTTTCGCAGACCAACAAACACCAGTCAAGCTCTTTGGTCTGTCAATAGCTGGAAACTCCAACCGCTCCAGCTTCACTGTGAGAGAAAAATCCCAATGCTCAATCATTTCTTTAAAATAGCCAATACGCTTTCTCTGTGGCTTTGAGCAAAACAAATCAGTGTGATGGATTAATATCTTTCACCTCATGCGTTGGAATCTAGGTGTGCAGTCCAAGTCTAGTCCATGAATGTAATGGGAACTCCTATGTGAACAGCGTGTGCTACAACATGACAAGTCAACTTGAGCCAAACTCCTCTTTCAGACCTGCTTTCCAAGGTAAACTTCCAAGTTTAAACTTCTACAACTCTTTTGTTACAACTCGTTCTTCCGCGCTGAAATATGTTCTCAACGCCTTTGTCCTGACTAAAAACCCTTAAAAACTTGCCCTTTTTTCAGAGTGCACAAAAAAGACAGTGGACCTTGTCTTTTTAGTCGATGGATCATTGAGTATGTCCGATAATGAGTTCAACCAAAACAAAGACTTTATAGTAGATATAATGAACACCCTTAAGAACTCTTCAATCAAGGTTTGTGTGTTATTGGAAAATTAAAGCATTCATAGCAGCTGTTTGTTGAATTATATAGATATAAAGTTGAATACTGCACCTTATAATATTGTATGTTTTTATCAGTTTGCAGCAGTTCAGTTCGCCACAGTACCTCGAACTATTTTTGACTTCAACGACTACCAAGCTGGTCATGATCGCGCGAAACTTACAAATGAAGAACATATGAAATTACTCACCAACACACACCAGGCCCTCACATTCGTGTTGTAAGTTACATCACAAAGTTCTCGGATTCTAAATAAATAACGTTTAAATATTAAATATTTTAATGTTACTTTTACATCTGTTTCAGGAAGGAAATCTTGGAAAACGACAAAGCAGGTGCTTCTGCGGATGCAACCAAAGTTGTGGTACTAATCACGGATGGAGATCCCACCGATTCAGATGGAAATGGCATCGTTAAAATATATGATGATAAAAACATCATTCGCTTTGTCATTGGGGTAAGCTGCGCTTCGATCGATGATCCCAATAGTGGTACATCTTTTCATTCAGCTAAAACACAAGCACATGTAGTGCCTCATGCTTCAACTCTTACTACTGTATCACTGTGAACACATTACAGTCAGACAAAATGTCAGAACATTTTAAAATATTTTGTCCCGTAAAATCTGAATGAATTCCTGTTTTGAGATTCTACGAAATTGTATTGATGATCTGGCTGTCATTAGGACTATCGGATACTGCACTTTTTTTCAAGAAGCATTCTGGTTTCAGATCAAAGCAGCCAATCTAGAAAGATTCCGAGCCATCGCTTCGGAACCAAAAGACAAAAATGCCTTCAAAATTGAGAACTATAACGGACTGAAAGGTGTGCTGGTAAACTTCCAGAAAAAGATCTTTAAAGTGGAAGGTGATGTTAATTTCCTTTTTCTTGTATTACAATAATGCTACAAAATTCCTTTTTATCCACCCCGGTGAACCTTTGCAATAGCAACATAAAGTGTGAATGGTTTCTGTTTAGGCTCCAAAGTGGCTCGTGCAGGCGAAATGACAAATGAAATGGCTCAGAGTGGTTTCAGTGCTGCTTTCCACAAGGTGAAAAAAGACGTACTCTATATTTTATGCCCATAAGAAGCCACTACCACAACACTTGACCATACCTGCTTATTTCTGTTTAACAGGATGCATTGATCCTTGGTTCGGTGGGGTCAAACAGCTGGCGCGGGTCTCTCCAAGACCGTCGTGGACAAATAGAAACTCAAATTGAAGATCCACACATGCAGATGGACTCCTACATGGGTACAGAACATAAAGTTATCTCTTTCTTTTCAGATGATCTACTTTATCTTTTTTTTCTTATTTGGTTAAAGACGTTGTTGCTCCGCTTTACTAGAAGACAAGCTCGGCAAAAACGCCTCAGTTAATTACCTCTATCAGTTACCAATCTGACCATATGCGACTGACACTTGCAGGATACTCGGTTGCTGTGGGAGAGAAGAGCGGCAATCCTCTGTACTTTGCAGGGGCCCCGAGGTTCGAGCACAAAGGACAAGTTGTACTTTTCAGAGACACTGGCATGAAGTGGAACGCAACCCAAAACGTTTCTGGGGACCAGGTTGGTAACTGTCTTGAGAATTTATTTTTCAAATGTAATCATTTTTTAATCTGTTTTCTTCATTCCGAACAAAAAGGGTGCAATACTCTTAGCATGTGTATCTGAATCTGTCACTGCTTTTTTGTTGTACTATTAGAGCTATCGTCAAGACTTTTGTCAAGAATCTATGCTGTTTCTGAAAGAAGATATTTTTTTGTTTGTCAGACGAGTGCTGGGCGTGAAAGGCACATCATATATTGTATGGTTGCAGGGTGAAACCAGACCACTTCCTTCCACTTGCACCACCTAGTTTTGCTTGTAGAAGAAACTGTGAGAAAATGACATTTATTTATGCAGGCTTTTCAAAAACGATTAAGAGAGATACCTTTCTTTGAAAAATATTAATCCATCATACTGATTCGTAGAACTTTAATTATATAAACTTTACTTTTCAGATTGGTTCCTACTTCGGTGCAGAGCTGTGCTCAGTAGATGTCGACTCAGATGGCAACACAGATTTCTTGCTGGTGGGAGCTCCACTGTATTATCAGTTTCTGGAGAAGAAAGAAGGCAGGATCTACATCTACATGGTGACTGATAAGGTGGGCTGTGATAAATGGCTACGACTATGTGATGGTCAGCTCGCTACTATGACGTTCCACGATCTGCTGGTTTACAATGATTAATTGTTTTGGTTGTACTTACGACCACCCTCGTGAACCAGTGTGTGAGGTCACAGTGACTAAAATCTACTTGATATTCATAGTATATGTAAATATACTGTTGTCGTTTTTTTCAACAGATGGAATTGAAATTTGACCAGCAAGTGTCCGCACCATTCACGGGGAGATTTGGTTCCACCATATCCAGTCTTGCAGATTTAAATGGAGATCAACTCAGAGATGTAGCTGTTGGAGCCCCCCTTGAGAATGATAATACAGGCACTGTGTACATCTACCTGGGGGACAGACACAGAGGGATACGCAGCACTTTCAGCCAGGTGAGATAAACTGAGAAATTATATATTTTTAGCTTTGTCGCATTTTTTGAATAAAGGTAGTCGGCTCTATGCACACATGAAAAGAACCCTTTGGTGAGCGGTCACTCTGGAGCAGGTACTTTCCTACCCTCTTTTTCTAAATACCTAAAAATGAGATAAGAATTAAGCATCACTCATCAAGACGGTTAGACAAATAGATTTTTTTGCAAAAAGAAAATCGGGTCGGATCAGTAGAGAATTAGATCATCATCAAGGTATTCATCAATGATAGTTTTAACAACCCGTATCTATCTCACACAGGGCATCTATCAGAGTAACTGAACACAGAACCTTCGAAACAACCATTATTCCAATGCTCATCATGCCTTGTCTATGTTATTCCAGAGAATCATGGGACAGGACCTAGATTCTGGGCTGAGATTCTTTGGTCAAGCCATTGACGGGGACATGGACCTTGGAGAGGACGGACTGCCAGATATTGCTGTCGGATCACAGGGCGCTGTGGTTGTTGTGCGGTATGGATATTGTGAACATCGTGTGTGTACCATTGCTACCTCCTACTTCCTCAAAGCAGGTCTTTATCTCAATGATGAGTTTTCACAACAAAAGAGTTGAGCACATTGCCCGAGAATCCACAAAACCCCACGATACAGTATCCGTAGCAGGACAACCATCATGTGCTGCTTATGCTACATGTTGATTGTCTACATGAAGTCCTTGGCCTCTTTTTTAAATGAAAATAAAGTTGAGATAAAATGTCATGTTGCCAAACCAGCAGCCATGAACAGCCCAGTGACAGAGTCATAGCAGCTTTCTTCAAGCAATCAGGTGTAAGGACTATTGAAGAAGGGAACCTACAGAATATATCATGTGATTAATCATTTTCATTTATGTCTTCCAGGTCCAGGCCGGTCTTCAATGTCACTGCACGTCTGTCTTTCCTACCTAACAAGATAAGTATTGACAACATTGTCTGCCCGAGCGTCGGAGATAGACCCTTGGAAATGGTTGACCTCACAGTCTGCTTTGAAATGGTAGAAACAACAAAGCTCAAACCAGGTACGGGCGTGACCCCATAAAGTTGTTCATAAGCAGCCGCTGATACACCCTTTCAACATTGGAATCCTGATGTATGCTTTTGCAGCGGCAAGGAGCTCCAGCATGAACATCTCTTACATGCTCCATGTGGATCCATCGAGACTAACATTTCGAGGTTTCTTCGATAAAGCCAACAAGAAATCTAGAAATCTTATCTCCATCTGCGAACTGAAGGGCGAAAACACCTGCTTCAACTACTCCATCTACATGCCAGTATGGGGATCAATCGATAATATTCCTATACCGCATAAACCAATGATCCAATGTACATCTATACATTCCATCCATGTCTCTATGCCCTAGCTAGTTATTCCTTGATATTTCTTTTAGCTCAATGTTGCTAATGTTTGTTTTTTCAACCATTTGATTTTGTCACCGTTTCAACAATATGCAGATGACTAGTATTTCTTTCTTTCAGGTATGTGTGGTAGACACGTTATCGCCAGTCGCCATGAAATTAAACTTTTCCCAGGTTGACAGCGAGCACATGAGTGCAGTCCTGAACAGTGACAGCAAAAGGCACGCCGATGTTATGGTATGTTCAGTGACAGGCTGCTTTGAGTCCTCGCAGGTTTTCTCTTTGCATGTGCGCAAATCAATCTGTAAAAAACGTTTTACACACAAATACATAAAGAAAAGGATCTAGGAGATGAAATGGAAATGGGTTTTTTGTACGGATTTGGCCATGACATTTGTCAATTTGTCTTTTGTTTTATTTTCAAGTTGGAATTTACCTTTAACACTGTGAGAAAAGACCGCCTACTGGAGACCGGGATTAGTCAAACAGTCGTATTTTTGCCCAAGCCAGCTTGGCTTTTTTCAAGAAAGTTGAAATGACTTCTCTGATTAACTCAAACACCAGTACAACAATTCCTAGGAATACATACAAATTTGTTGAGAAATGTTAGTAGTGGGCAAGGTAGTGGAGCGGTAAACTACCGTTGAGCCTTCGAGCCCGGGACGGCTAAAGTCCGGCACATTGATTGTGGTGAGAGACGGAAAGCGTAAATCCAGGGGCGAGGGCATTCCTGTTGTGTTTCAGTAAAATCATCAGAAAAATCATCTGTGTCCTCAAATAATGCTAAATGACAATTCGGTTTAATTGATACCGTTGTTATCTGGCTTGTTACGTATTTATGAATTAACTAAACGTGTCTTTTGTTACAGATTCCCTTTGAAATGCGGTGTAAAACACATAACATCTGCATTGCTGAACTTGACGTGGACTTCAACTTCACGTATGTATGCATTTAAAAAGTAGCACACAACGGTAACATTACATTATATGACCAAATGCACTCTCTGTCTCTCAGGACTCCAACCTTGTTGGTGGCAAAAGATAACTACTTCAACGTGACTGTTAAACTGTCCAACTTTGGAGATGATTCCTACCACACCGGCCTAACAATATACTATCCCCAAGGCCTGTCCTTCTCCAGGATGACTCTCGTAGAGGTAACTTAAAGGTTTAAGCGTTATATACACACACCTGTTAATCGGCTTGTTAAAGAAGAATATGAACACTTGCGTCAATGTCAGTCGGGGCTTCAGAAAACATTCTTAACTTATACAAATCTGTGTGTGTGTGTTCAGTTAGAAGAGTGCGCACGCGGCCGGCCTCCGAGTTCTGTTTAATGGTGCAACATGTAAATTTTGGCCAACATATTGATTTAGAACATTAAACAAATTAACCAACATCACTAACCCTGTAGAATGAGTTTACAGTTTTGACGTTATGTTAATGTATAGTTATGTTTCGCTACAATTACTCAGTGAAATAAGCAATAACCTTATCTGTTGCAACAGCGTGTAGCACTGGTATCGGTTTAACTGTGAGTCTGTTTGTGAGATCTTGTGGTGAAATGTGGCACTGGTACTGGAAACTACCGCAGATGCAATTCAAAGTATTTTACCAGTAGCTTTGTGAGAACAGACTTTGTGTCCAAACTTTACAAGTGATTCCTTCAGATCAAAAGTGTCCCAAGTTCCAAGATGGTCTCTAATTTATCTTTACGTTCATTCCATTGGAGAATATTTGAGTAAGTTGTTGCTGAACTACTTGTCAGAAAAAACTTGTGTACATGAACACAATTCGTAAAGCACAATTATTCACTTGCTGCACCTCTTTTATTTAAGATGCACGTAAAGAACAACTAGTCAAAAGTCATGATTTTTCAATGCCACAAAGAACCTCTGCAGGAATGGAATTAATTTAATTAACTTCCCCTTAAGTCAAGTGCAAAACAACTGCACTTTCAGCACCACTAAAAGAGTTGATGGCCGATTTGAAACCCATTCAAGATCAACATCGAACTATGAGAACAAATGTTATATTAGATCTTTAGACCTGAAAGATTATGCTAAAAACATACCAACTCGAATCCACACAAATATAGCATCAAAGTAAAACTTAACGCTTTTATTGTCTTAAAATAGGCTACGAGACCCACAGTCTACAGCTGTCAAGACATGGACGGAGTACTTGACAGAACCACATGTGGTGTAAGCCGTCCGGTGTTTCGCAGCCGATCAACCGTGAGTCATTTTGCAACACGACACTCTCGTTCCATACAGAGGTTTCACAAGTGTAGAGGTTTCACATGTTTCCTGAAATGAAGAACTGGAACAAACCTTCTGAACTCTTGACATTTATAAATTGTGGCAACTTCTCGTTTAGATATTTCAGTTATCACTCACATCCAACATCATTGTCTGTTTTTCTGTGAAGGCAACATTCCGAATTTCTTTCCACATCCTGAATGACTATGAATGGGATGAAAGCATTACGATGAACGTTACTGGTGAAAGGTAGCGGCTTTCTGGTTTAATCCAAAACACTGATCAAAGACCAAACATTGTCAATGTATCACTAAAATACTATTGATTACTATCCTTACATATTTACTGTTTCAACATTCACAATAAATGCTTTTTATGTCCTCAGTGATAATACAAACTCCTCCATAGCGGCTTTCCGGACCAAAAGCATCCCAGTGCAATTTGAAATTCAAATGGCAGTAATGGTGTAAGTGTCGCTTTCCACATTTTGGAACTTCTGCTTAGTCATTAGCATCATTTCACTTCTACATTATAATCCAACCCGTGGTTATATTATTCTGCAGCTACCTGCATGTTGTGATTGTCCTCTACGCTTTACAGGAAGGACGACCCGATCAACTATATGAACTTCACAACAGAGGACACTAGACCTAAAAAAATGTTCGCTATATACAAGGTGAGGCTTTAAATGAATGTGCAACAAGCAACTATCAAAGCTCATTTTGACCAATCGTTGAGAAGTTCACTGATCGAGCTGCAACTTTAGACCTGTATTGAATGTTTGGCCTCAAAAAACACTGACGCATCGTCATTACTATAAAGATTTTGTGAGGAAATTGCCACGGCTTACAGTTTCCTATTTACACATCCAGCAGGAACAAAGCAAAAGTAGCATTCATTTGGAGGTTTCAGTTCACTTGATAAACTCTTGAGGTCCCTTTCGTGAAAAAGTCCACCTGAATAAGTTGGTGGTGCATCACTGGGAAGGTAAAGGGGTTCGTGTGGATTCACTCAAAGAGACAAAACATGGCACTTGTGGGCCGGATGTTGGTGCGGGTTAAGCACCGGCACACAGCAAGAGGGTGCGAGAGAAATGTCTCTCTTAAAACTGTCTCTCGCTCTTTGCAGGTAGAAAATATTGGTTTCAAGAACTTTCCAGTCAACGTGTCCCTGATCTTCCCGACTAAACTGGAGCATGACTTCGAAATGACAAACTATCAAGTCCAAGTCCAGGAGGTAACTACATTTATTTGATCATACTGCTGCTTTCTTTGTGATTAAAATCACTGTTCTTAAATACCTTTTCAATTTTGTTTTGTTTTTTTAGAACAAAACTCAATGCTCAGGCATTAGTGACGCAACATCTGAAGTACGTAAAATATAATTAGTATCAAGCATTTCTAACTGAACATGTGGAAATTACAATTCCCCATAATAACATGAATTGTTGCTGTGTTTCAGTACTGTTCGCCAGAAAAATATTGTAAAATCATAGTGTGCGACACGTTCCTCCTTGAATCCTCCATTGAGTTCACGTTGTCAGGAGACGTACAATTCAGGGATCTCCAACAGCGCGCAGCAGTACGTAGCAATGCACACAGACAGAATACATACACCATTTAAAGTGGGTACTATTTCATGAATTGATACACTCTTACTTTGCAGAGTATGCCCTTTCTTACGCGGTATTGTGGAGATACCAGAGAGGTTAAATTTAAGAGCTGCATACATGTCAACTATGACAAGCAGCGATATGTGCTGCACTCCCATAAAGAACAGGTATGTCCACGTTTGACCAAAGTTACGCCATTTTAAATATATGACATTTGTTGTTGTTTAGGATAATATGTTGTATATATTAACAGAACTATGACTACATGAAGACGTCCAGCAACGATCCAACAGCGAAAGAGGTACATTCCTTTTAGTACATGAGCAGCCAACCTATTTTATCTACCACACATTTTATATTGTTGATCAAATATTAAGAAGCTACACTTATTTGCATGTTCTCTGCCAACAGACTGAAGTCCGGGTTGAGTTCATAATCCCCCCGGATAAAATGCTGATCATTTTAACTGGAGCTGGATTGGGATTGTTGCTTCTGATTATAATCACTGTCATCATGTTCAAGGTGAGTCGGCGCCCACATTTAATTACAAAACACAACTGAAGAAAAACCTCTGTGTGTCTTTTGGTCTAACGATGTTCTTGTCTCCTCCGTAAGTTGGGTTGCTTTAAGAGGAAAACGCATGGGGACTATGGAGAGCAGGAGGCCGACGACGCTCCTGAAGCGGGGCCTCCCACTCCGTCCACGTCCGCCCCCGCCAACCAGAGTGTCACCCAATCAGAGACTAACGGCAACTGTGACAAACCCTCAGAGAAAGACACGCTTCTTGGTGACGGAAACAACAGCACCGCCCTTCTGGCGGATACAGAGGTGGAGCTGGATTAGAGGGCTGCCTGCATTGTGAGACGCAGCAAGTTTATGGGCAACAGAGATTTGAGACATTTTAATGTTTTCTTAATGCTTTCTCAGCAGTGTTTGTCCATCAATAATTGAGGTGGCTAAGTAGGAAACCTCAACTGTTAAATCCAAGTATGGTATCAGGAGAACAAAACTCTTAGAACAAAGTTGCCCCTGAAAACTCTCCACTTGTATGAGCGAGGACAATGAGCAGGTGACTGATTGAACACCAGACAGTGAAGGTGTTCCCACAGCCTCCACTGGGAGAACCTCATGGTCATTGACCAGTTGAAGGAGAGAGAACGAACATTCAGATGCCACAGACATGGATTAAAATCTCCTCTCCATCTAGAGCAAACTCTCATCAACTCTCATACAGGCGTCCGCAGCTACAAGAAATAACAAGATATGAACGCAAAATCTATGGGAAAACATTTACTTATCAATTAATAACATGGTGAAATGCTTTTATATATATTATTCATTTTAAAGATGCACTGCACACATAAGCATATTTCTTTGATGATACACATTTACTCTGTTGATTTAAATCATATTTGCTTTTGTTAAATAGGTGCAATAAGATATACTATGAATTTATTTTTTTGACTACCATTGTTTGGGTTCTGTACAGTATGTATATTTTTCTAATGCCTTTTATTTTATATTTTGAGGGGCAGTGTTCATGTATCAATGTTGTATCAAGGCACAAGTCTGCGATGTGCCAGTAGTAAACAAATTAAAAAAAACACAGGATACCCTTGTACTTGCAAGAGATGACATACAAAGATCTTCATTTTCCAATATAGAAGGATAGATACATATTGAAAGTATGTGTTGTGTCACGCTGGGCCTCCAAACAGATTAGACATTGACGTCCACCTGACGGGACGAACACCGTTCCTCAGATTTTCCCTCATCTTGTGCTTCGATGATGATGGAGGAGGAGAGCGTGGTGGAAATATAAGATTCCCAAAATGTTCCTTAACTTATTTGACATATACCTTTGTCATTTGGGGATTCCCTTTAATTTATCTCCAATGTGTATAATCAATCTGTTGGGTTCTGAAGTTGGCAAGTCAATCAATTTATGGCACAACTTCAAACTTTAGAAGACAATAACTTTAGAAGGCAATGCTTTTTTAAGTTTATTTACTTGACACGGTCAAATATTGTATTTTTGAGGGCACAAAGTAAAATGTAATATACACTTGAAAAAATCTTTGTGTTGAATTGCAATTTTGATATTACAAGTCTTAAAACTGCATAAACAATAAAAAATATGATTTAAACACGTGTGCTCTCTTAAGACAGCTGTCAAAACTGACCACGATGCAAACTTAATAAAGACCATGAGTGACATGGAAAAATAACCCAAGACTAATGTCCGAAGTGGAAAACAGAAGTTTCTAAAGTCTTGAAAAGGTCTTTTAGTGGGGTGACCTCCACGTCCCCATTGACCAGCGGCACTCCCTCTGATGCGGGTTTCCGTTGTTGCCCCGCGTGACGCTGCCTCGGCGGCGCCACTGGTATGCGCAGCATGTTGTATGCGCGCCGCATTTTTTCACCTGGAGATCAGCTGTTCCTGGACTGCAGAGGGAAGATCCCCCGGTTGCCTCTGAGGGATTTGTGCAATATTTTTCTCAGTGGGCGGTCGTGCCGGGAGTCTCGAGTCTGAAGATTGCAAGCAGCACCGGGAGAAAAGAGGCACACAGTTAAGAGCAGCCACACAACATCCAGAGTAATGTTGGATACAACACAACTCAAACTCTAGAGCTTGAGATTCCTAAAATCACGCCCAAAGCATCCAAAGTGTGTCTAAATTCACGTACAGAATGTTTCTGACCAACATTAACTACGACGTGGTCATTTCTCCGGGGCAGATTTGGTCATTTGGGGGTTGTAGGAAACCCCGTGCTTTTGCTCTACCTTCAACCCTTTCTCCAACAGGGAATGTTGGTAAAGGGTGGCAGAATATTACTTTGTTTTATGAAGTAAAACTATAAAAGTGAAACAATAATACTGAGCAGTACATGTTTTACATTTAATATTCAGAAGGGAAGAGTGAGTAGAAAAGGGACATTTAGGGACATTGTGCGGATTATCTGCACAATGTCCCTTTTCCAGGTGGAGCTTTCTATTCAAATAAAATGTTGGATATTTTATTGTGTAGTTTGAGTCAAAACTGACGCAGCAAAGTAACAGGGAGCAGTTTTTCAGTGACAATTAGTACTGCACTATTATCCTTCACAGTACAGTAAATTGTGTACAGTCGAGTTGCATAGTGTTAGTTTAGGGCACCAAGGAGTTGCTTGGATGCCGGATCGGTTTAGTCTTTTATCCAAACCAGTTTGTAGTAGAGCAGTGCTGAGTGTCTTTTACATGAATGTCTCTCAGAAGCAGAAACTCTGCTGGCTAAACAGTCAGCCTGCTCTGAACGCGCATGTTTCCCAAACGGCCCTGCACAAACTCATATAAAATCTCCTGAATTGGAATGAGTAAACATTTTACCTGAAGCGGCCCTCATCCGAATACTGTCCTGTAGCTCTTGATACTATTGGTAGGGGTTCAGAGTCAGGAAGAGACTCTTCAGAACTGAGCCGGCAGTGTCTGCGAAGTGAGGCATTAACAACATAAGTCAGGATTTCCCGGTACATTTGGTATGCGTTGATTATTACCATACCTTTGCGGGATGCAGCGTCAGGCGGCTGCTGCGGAGAATGGGTTCTGGTTGGACTGGTAGATATCTCCCCGAGAGATTCAAGGATACAGACAGGATTAAGCTGCCGCTTCAAAGGGCCATTCGTGTTCTCCGTTGAACAGTCTGCACTTTTTGTTTTAGCATCAGAAGACAAACAGGAAGATCTTGTTGCACCAGAGATTTCTTTGACAGATCTAATCTGGTGTTGGAGAGTTGTCTTTAAATTAGAGGCCCTTGGTTTGGAGTCTGAGAAATGAGATGTATTATCAACTAACTGGTTTGACTGTTGAGAGGAGGAGGAAGTCCTTGAAAGATCTGGCTGAGGGGCATCACTGAGAGGAGCAGCAAAAAGCCTGAGGAAGGAGCTGGCAGGAGCTTTAACACCTTTACTTCTGGAACCTGCAGGCTGTAGAGCAGGACAGGAAGACTGAATAAAGTCTTGAGGACAAGAGGAACTTGGTTCAGAATCTTCTATAGGCTGCAGATTGTCAAAAAGGGGGCTTGCGAAAAGGCTATGAATCGTTTTTTCGGGGGTCTCTTTACATTCAACTGCAAGAGCACCGTGATGTGCCGTCTCACTACGGCCCTCTGCTCTGATCTCAGATGGACAAGGTCGTTGTGCGTCATGGCTGAGGACGGCTTGTGGCTTTTTAGAGTACAGGCGGATCTCAGTGGGTTGTTTTTCTACAAAATGATGACTGCCAGTGTTTGCAGAATGACTTGTCTTAACGGAGCTGGTGACAAGTTCCACAGGAGCAGCAGCTCTACATTTAAAGTCTGGGAAACCCGAAGGGGAAAAGTGCTTTCTTGGGGCTTGTGGGTCAAATGTCACAACAGGCCTCAACTCTGTAGGATGTTTGGAAGTAGATGTCCGAGTTAATGGCTTAAAAAAATAGCTTTTGCTATTTGTGCATCCAAAAGGAGGAGCACCTTCACTTTTGCAGGCTGTAGTAGACTCATCTGCTACGTTCACAGTAGAATGCAGCAACTCCAACTTGACTTCATCAGCCACTCTTCGGGCAGCTTTCATGGAGTGTGGCACATTGCTACCTTGTGTCTTGTTGTGTGTGGAGGCCAGAGGTAGACTTGGGATGTTCTTTGAAAGCAGACTAGTGTCTACATTGAGCGATGACAGGCCCGTGAATTCCTTCCCCTGTGAATTATTAACGTCCTTTCTGGGATTTATTGAATGCAAGACAGTCTCCTCTTGGGTTTCTGAGCTTGGTATAGGAACAGGGATCTCTGCAGAGTCAGCTTTTGGGGTATAGGATACAGTTTTTGCAGCATAAAGGGTAGGTGTGTGTCTAAAGGTGGAGTTTTCCACTGAATTAGACCTGAGAACAGCATCCACTGAGTATGGAACTTGGATTTGGTTTGAAAGGACTGAACTGCCAGATTCTTCACTTCTTTGAGATGTAAAGAAACTAGGGAACGGTTTGAAAAGTTGCGGTCCAAGGACTGCTGCAACTGAATAACAAACTGGCTCCTCGTGTTGAAGGTCACTTGACGGCAGGATGTGAGGTTGGGCAACATCAGCTGCATGTGCCGGGGAAGCTTCCTCGTGGTCATCAGCCAGCTCTCGAGTCTCACAGAACACGCTTTCCTTCTCAGCATTGGTTTCTCCGCTGTTGTAAAAGTTAGGCCTAAAAAAATAAAAATATCAGCATGGTATGAATGATTGATGCAAGAATTACATGAATGTATTTGCAGAATCACATCGACAATTTCAAGTTTGTGTGTGCGTACCTGAGTGGGTGCACAAGTTCATTAGAAGTCCTGATTGGTTCCGACATTTCTGACTCATCTTTGTTCTCTGGCTGTCCGGACGACTCCTGCTCAGCTTTCTTTGCAAGTGCATTGAGTTCATCATCACGTTTTAAAGCCTGCGGTGAGAAGAAGGGAAGACTGATTTGTAATTTCCGCACACATCAATGGCTATGAAACGTTGTCATGAAAGGATTGTTACACACGTCATGTAGCAGCTTTTTTGAGGCGTCATTAAGTGGCTCGTGGGAAAACCGGCAATCTTCTCCTTTAGAGCATTTTCCGTGTTGGTGAAAGAACTTGCAAGGAAAGGACTGTGCAACTGAGTAAAGGAAATATTAGATATTTGTTTCTGGCAAAGAGTACAATACTTATCACTGCAATGAGTTTATGAAAAAATTGCGATTTCATTGCGGTTCAACCAAAGGATATTATGCATGTATGGGCAGGTCTCCCCCTTTAAGCAGAATCCTTGAACGTAAAACTTGCACACTGCTTGGATGAGATTGTTGTGTCCTTTAACATGTTCCAGCTGGCATTCGCCTTCCTGTGTGCAGTTATAACCACATTCAATAAAAGGCAATACAAACAAGAACAACACGTGTTTCTATGTTGTGAGTTAGTTTAAACATGTCAACATTGGTAACATATCACTTTTTAAACACATACATACACACAACATAACATAACCTGCCTTGATGCACCGTCCCAAAAGGAAATGCCGACAGATTAACCGCCCATTGGCCAACACGGCGTTCTGGTCCTTAAACTCCTGGGTCATCAACCTTGTACGTTGCGCTCGGAAGTCCTGAGCGGAAAGATAAGCATAATTAAAAAAATTCACAAGTATGTTAATTAAAAGAATTCACAAACATGTTAATAGAGCCATGATGAAAAGGTTTTGAAGGAAGCATTTTCTTTTCGAGACTTGTTCTGAACCCCTCAAGTTTAGACTGATTCCTCTGTATGACCTACAGAAGTGCACAAGAACATCAGCAAGTAGCCATTTTTATCAAATTACTGACCCCATTTTAAGTATTTGGGGATTTGGATTCCAATACAGTTATCCCTGTTTTGATTGGACATGCAAAGGGGCTAAAAATATCGTAGCCGACCCCTCTCAGCCCGGACAAAATCAGTTCGTGCTGCTTCCATCTGGCAGGAGGCTGAGGTCCAGCAGGACTAAGGCCTCCCGCCACACAAACCGATTTTTCCTGTCGGCAGCCGGACTCATCAACAGAGCCCGGTTCCCCCACTGACTGACTGACTCTGACATCCCCCCCGGTCACTCCCTTCACCCTCCATTTGCACATAGACATACACATACACTTGTCATTTTCACTTGTCACTTTCTGTTCGCTGGTGCGCTTTATTTTTAACTTTTTATTTTTTATTTAAATTCATATTGTTTTGTCTTATCCGTCTTGCTGTCCATTGTTCCAAGTCAAATTCCTTGTATGTCTAACATATTTTAGTAATAAATGTTCCCGATTCCTAATCTTGAATGCCTCCTCTACCACAACAGTGGGTGGGCATGGTGACTGTGTGCTTTGATTCAAGCTGCAACAGATAACTGGCCGATGCTCTTGCTTACCTGCTTGTAATTTGTATTTTGTCTGTATCTTCCACCTTGTCCTCGAGTAGGTTGAGTGTGAGAGCTTCCACCTCTATTGGCAGGTCTTCCATCCTTCTGTTGCTGATTTTTTTGGCGCTTTGGCTTCTTTTTGTGCGGTTGCTGTTGTCGCTGCTGTTGTCGTTGGTGCTGCTGAAATTGTTGTTGCTGCTGCTGCTGTTGATGGTGGTGTTGTGGTGGTTGTTGTTGCTGCTGCTGCTGCTGCCGCCGCCACCGCTGCTGCGGCTGCTTGTTCACCTTGCGGCTATTTTTAGTTGTGTAAATCTGACCTATGTTATTGTGGCCAGCTTTATAACTTTGATCAGCGTTGTGTACGGCCTCGGAGGCATCTTCATAGAAGGACGTAGCATAATTACTTCTGTCTCTCTGGGCTTCATGACATAGCTTCTGTGGAATGAAAATGCATCGAAATCAAATGTCAATGACATGCATTTTGATATTGAAAGTCAACCTTTTGAAGTTTGGGAAGTACAAATACATGCTGTGCAGACGAGCAGCACAAACCGTTTGGGGTTTGTATTTAACAGCATTGGCTAAGTGTATCACATACTGGAAAAAGAGTGTATCTACAATGATACAGATATCTAGAGCTTTCCATGTGATGTAATGGTCAACAAAATCATCTTCAATATTAAAGATTGAAAATAAGCAGAGAGGATTATCACTGGAAACAACTGGCATAAAATGGGCTCAACAATGGACAGCAGGGCTCAGAATATCTTTAGTATGAGTGAACAAGGGTGCCTGCGATGAGCCCGAAGGAAAGGAAAAGGCAGCTTTTTTTCTGCAGAATGTGAGACACCTTAATTATTCCTGCACCCTATACATATAAATGGATTCCGTTTTTTGTCAGTGCCTTTGTTATGTTAATTAGCAAAATGCAACTAATTAAACAGCATCTGGTTTCCTGGCCTGTCGTACCATGACAGGTAAAAGTAAACATGAATCTCACCTTTTCATAAGGTTCAGTGTGCTCCACTGGGATTTTCCTTTTTCTGGCATTGTCTCTTTGACCACTCCCAGCCTCGGTCCTGTAAAACAACATCATTATTATTATTTAATGAATGCCATGGTCATAACATAAACGTCAAAGCTAACTAGAAATAGTTAGGAACCTTTACCAGTGTGTTAAGGTGGGTGGACCAGAGCTCGTGACACCGTCAACGACAGCAGCTAGTCCCGTGAACAGGTTGGAAAAAGCCATTTTATTTTTAACAAAAAAAGCTGCATTAGTCTTCACCGGGTATCCCTTGACTGTTTAGGCCTGAAATTCAAGTTGGATTTGCAGCACTTAAAGGTGTGGTTCACATGGCTTACTCCATCGCTTGCGCGTAATTTCTTGTTCCGTGTTTGAGATAAACGTACCGGCTCTGGACTGTACCAAGTGTGGACGGGGGGGTAGAATACCCTGGCACTTTATTCAAAAACGTTTTTATTTTGACATGCGTTCTGGTGAATTCGTGAAACGTCATCAGTCGCATTCTGAATACTGGTCCAATTCTAGAGTCCGCGTCCCTTCGAGAACGGCCATAAAACTCGGATAGGACTCAACCCGCCCCTTATAATACCGATAATGCATCGGAGCCGACGTCATGTCCGTTCTTGTGAGAGCGACATATCCCAGAATGCATTTCACCTCAGCAACAGGAAACAATGGCAGAGGAAAAGAAACACAATTTTAAATACTACTAGATTTAAGAATTTGATTGTTTCTTACAATTGCAAATTCCATATGTTTTAAAATATTCTCTGCCGGTAATGTGTGGGTTGGCTCATGTAAACCTTTCATGACTTAATGAGACACTTAAATTAAACAAAGGATTTATAATCATTAATATTATCAGTAACATCTGTGCTTTTTCTAGAATGAGTCAAACGTCTGACGCCTTTGACCATCTAAATGTTTTATGCCATTAGATAATGGAATGACTCACTAAAATTTTACCCACTAGTAATATAATGTCAGAGAAAAGTGCCAAGAAGTATTTCATGACTCAGTTTGTATCATTTTGAGGCTTATTTTACATGTTATTTTATCCGTCTTTTGTTTATGAAGCCTTAATTTTTCACCCATTACCTCTCTTTGACACTCCGACTGCCTGGTTGTTTTATGTCCCCCAATTTGAATTGTGCATGTTCCTTTGAGAAAATAAACTGTGCTTTGTGAAAATCATGGTCGTACATGAAAAGTATCTGCTGTTGGGTCTTCCTTGTTGAAATCATCAACTTTAGCCCAAATATAACCTTTTCAGGAAGTCTGTTGTTTTGTACCGTGAGTACACTTTTCTTAATTTCCCCATTGTTCTAGGTTACAATACCTTGCGATTTGGGTAGGCTGAAGACTGACTATAAACTAAACCAAAATATAATATGATGTGGTCTGTACTACAACACCCACAACAGTCTCTTTTAAAAAAAAAGGTTCTATGGTTTCGGTTAAAATCAAATCCAGTCTTTCCAGTTCTAGTTGACACTGTCAAGAGCAATTCACTTTAAATTTGAAACGTGATTGAATCGGCTGAATGGCGAACAGGCACTCTGCCTGGTTAATCAGAGAGAATGACAAAATCTGATACAAGTCAAAAGGACGAGATAGAGGCTGGACTTTGTTCTTCCACATAGAAGGCTGTCCCTGTGTCGCGTTCAAAGTGCAGGGCACACAGAGTTTGATTTTTTTCCTCTGAGTGTGCTAGTTGCCCCTCAGTCTCTCAACTCTTTAGTGTCGATATTGAGCTGTCTGAGCTGCAGGATGACCCGTTGGGCCCACATCGCTCCGCTCCTGCTGGGTCTTCTCATCCACGGTGCTGTCAGTCAAGATGCTGAGGATCCTGCTGTGGCACCAGCGCAGGGCCGGGCCGCTGATGGCTCACAGACGGACGAGGATAACGCAGAGTGGGCAATGAATTCCATCAGAGGCAGCTTTGAGTCGGTCGGCGGATACTTTGATTCAATGCTAGAGTTCATGGGCGGACGTGATGGAGTGTGCCAATACCACTGTCGCTACGGTAAGTCGGTTAAATGGATGAGTAAGTATTGTTTAAGGTTAGAAGAATAGCAGTGATATATCATTTTAGAGGTTGAAGATATTTGATCATTTTATTTTAATTGAAAGGAGGAGATGTAACATTGTTCTCCTGAACACTTATAACATGCAGTGGAAAAGGTTAGTCTTGTGCTGATGTTGTACGATCCGGGTAAATCCACCCTAACAACAATAAAAGTTCTTCAAGAGAAGAGGAAGACAGAAAGCACTTCCTTTTTAAAGTCATTGATAAATGTGATAATGAGTCTGACGATCTCTTGAATGGAACAGCAACGTAACATTATAAAAATCAATAATAATAATGCAATGACACTTGCATATCACCGGTGTACTTATCATAGCCGTTATCATTTGGAAGAGGGCCTGGATGTGGACTATGAGCCCGGAATGATTCATGCAGTGACTGGGGAATGTTACTAATAACATGCTGTATGAAAGGACCAAATAAGTACCGTGAACCTTTGGCACTATGAGCAGACGTGGGTCAACTTTAAACCCATGAGGTTTCTAAACTGTGGTACATGACACACATCTGATGTTGAGTTTGGTTCCCCTTAAAGGTAAAGATCCTCTTCCTCGTCCTGGTTACCAGATGGCAGAACCTAATGGATGTGGCTCCTACATCTTTGGTCTTCCTGTTCCAGAGGGGGTATGCTTCTTCTGTCTGTTTAGGGCAAAGCCGTGTGGATATATGGAACTTGGACATTTTATTGATATAAAAGCCTGAAACTCACTTCCCATGGGACAATCCCAAACTTAGCACTGTGATATTGTTGCTTCCCCCATTAGATTGTGCTGACTTTGCATTATATTTCAGTTAGTTAAAAGTTATGGCAAATATTGGCTAGTGAAGTAATGGCCTGCACCTTAAAGATCTATGATCCATGTCTACTCTTTTCAAAACTTGCAGTATGGTTGCACCAGAGACGTGTTAATTGGGAAGTAAAGACCTGATACAAATAAATAATTGATGAATCTTTGCATTCACTAAAACACACCTTTATGGACAACGGCACACACAAAAGAGGATGGCTTGGACATGATTATTTATGTTTGTTTTTCGTCCAATGTAAATCTTGAAAGACAACAATCAATTTTATAAAATGCACAATAAATATATATATATATATATATATATATATATATATATATATTCGCTAGGGATAAATGTTTATATATATATAACCATTTATCCCTGAAAGTCTTTATTTTGCTCGATAACGTAATCTGTTTTGAGTGATATTTGAGAAATAACCACGTGTGAATCCTCACCCTGCTGTTTACCAGATGGACATGGGCATCCCTGCCATGACCAAGTGCTGCAACCAGCTGGATATGTGTTACGACACTTGCGGCTCCAACAAGTACCGCTGCGACTCCAAGTTCCGCTGGTGCCTCCACAGCATCTGCTCGGACCTGAAGAAGAGTCTTGGCTTTGTGTCAAAAGTTGAAGGTGGGGTTTTTTGTATTTTACACAGAACCGAGTTACTGATCCCGACTTTGCATCCAATGCACCATTCTGCCTCAACTTCAATTTTAATGATTCAACATCTGATTTGAGTACACGGTCTACTTTCATACAGTGACTCAGTAACTGCCTGAGTGAACAGCTTAAAAAGATGCCATGATTACCAGTTAGGATACTTATCAGCATTTTTTTTTTTTATTTCCCTCCGTGGCAAAAGCGGTTGAGCCCGGAAAAGTTCCCAGCTGGTTTGGGAATCTTTCAGGAGCCTGTTGCATCCCATTTTGAAAGTTACGCCCCTTCCTCAAAAAAAGGAGCCAATATTTAAATTAAATTTTAATTTTTATGCAAGCAACTGAAATCCTCAAGTGATTAAAACCTACTAAGCACTGATAAATCAGAGATTAACTGCTTTTAGAACATTTAAAATGTCATCTTCTTCTGCCCTCTGCTGACGGCCACTCGTGCCTCTGCACCTTTCTCTCCTCAGCATGTGAAACGGTAGCGGACACCTTGTTCAACACAGTGTGGACTCTGGGCTGCAGACCCTACATGAACGGCCAGAGAGCCTCGTGTTTCTGTCCAGGAGAGGAGAAAGATGAACTTTAAAGCATGAAACACTCTTCTATTTATAGCAGTATCAACTTAGCAGGTCTTGCAAAGACGACTGTGTGACTATTTGAGTAACTTATTGTTCTGGTTTTGTTCAAAATGAAGACGTAATTGTTAAACAGTTCAACTTTGTCGCAACCCAAACTGTATTTGTTTATTTGTCAATAGTGTTTTTGTTTAAGCACAAATGTTGGAAAAGAAAAGCAAAATGATTGTGATTGTGAATTTATCTTAAAGACCGATACACACGTATTACATCTTGTACTTGATGTTCTGTAGGAATAAATGTTATGGAAACATGCGTAGATGTGATTATTTCATTTCACTTATGTATTACCTACACGTTGAGCTGGACAAAAGTGTTTTTATAATTCAAAAGCGAGGAGGTTATTTTGTGTTAACTTAATGGACTTCAATGAGCTCGGATTCATCAGGCTCAGCTGGTCTGTTTGTTCTACTTAAGTTAACTTGTAATTAATGTCCACAGTTTTGACCCGGTCAGAATGACCTCGAAAGAGAACTGCACCAATTTAGACTATAAATAAAAATACCATTTGACCCAGACACTATTAAAATAAAAATACATTCCTCATCAGATTAAGACAGAGTCTGCAAAACATACTTTGTTTAATCAAATACATACAGGACCAAGACAAAGAAAGGCTGTTTAAAACAGTAATAAAGTGGTAATATTCACAGAAGTCACCTGACCCAACCCAAAATGGGAATTGCTGGCATAAAAATATATTTTTTTAAATGTTGTTTTCATTTTTTTAGAGTTTGAAGATGATTCAGTGAAAAACTGGAAATATGACTAAACAATAAACAATATATGTTGCACATGATGTCCACATGGCCTGTAGGGTCTCAGAGCGGTTTCAAATAATCAGTCACGAAGAGCCACATATCTATAGACAAGAGAAAAAAAAAGTGAATAAAACACATGACCGCTACTCAACGGCAAATCTCAGTTAATAATGATGTACATCTTTTATTTCAATCAACATTTTATATTATATAAATTATTACAATATGATTTCAATGTGCCGTTTTGCTGTTTTAATCGCTTAAAAGGAGAATTGTAAACGGATAACATAAAATAGCATAATCACACAATGGTTAATGATTGCTGTGGGAAAATTGGCAAATTTCTTATTCGGTGCTTACGAAACAAAAGCATTCTCAAGCTAGAACATTTACAATGAATAAAGAGACTCCCTGTCAGCATCAGTGTTCTCACACTGTGATTTACTCACTTCACCGGTCGGAGAGGTAAGGGGATAACCAGGCTCTGGCACCTTCTGCTTCATCTTCAGGTTAAATGCTTTAAGCTTGAAATCCAAGAGGAGAAGTTGTTGAACAATGCAGGCATTCATTATTGTGACATTTAGGCTGCAGGGTCAGCATATGCCTCAAACTATAGAATAATCCAAGAACCGAATGAATGTGTAAAGGATTTAAACTAAATATGCAGTTAAGGCAGTACATGAGCAAACACTAACAATTCTAACAAGAACACTTTCTGAAAATAATGAAAAATCCTAAAATATTTCTGAGTGATAATTCATCACTCACTAAAAGTAAATGTTGTTTAGCCAATCGTGGCCCCACTATTCAGCAGATTTCAGAGAAACACATTTGATAGATCTTGCTAACAAGCAGACAAAGAACATGAGCAAAAAGCATTTGGAAGCTGATAAATTGAATATTCCACCAACCTTTTTCCTCAAGTTAGCTTTAATTTCCTCTTCCGTTGGCGGCCGCTGTTCCCCAGACTGCTCGGTTGACGGCCGCTGTTCCCCAGACTGCTCGGTTGACGGCCGCTGTTCTCCTGGCTGCTGGGTTGGCGGCCGCTGTTCTCCTGGCTGCTGGGTTGGCGGCTGCTGTTCTCCTGACTGCTCGGTTGACGGCCGCTGTTCTCCTGACTGCTCTGCTTCAGGGTCATCTTCAACTGGCTGTGGAGTATTCATCTCCGCCTCCATCTGTTTTGCTGCCAATTTTCGTAGTTCCTTCATGTATTTTTTCCTTGCTTTATGTACATGAACAATCTGTAAGTGAACTTTTGTCTTCATATTCATTTGTTTTTGTTGACTTTTTGGGGGTTCCTGTAAACGGCTTTCAGCAGTTGGCTTCTTAGGGTTGACTGTCTGCAGGTAGGATTTGCGTGAAAAAAATCCAATTTGGCCTTCACTCCCTGACAGATCTGGGTTCATGAACAGGTTTGTGTCCAAATACGGGGGGGCATGAATTCTAGGGTGCACCGCAACGCCAGTAGGTTTTTGTTGTTGGTTCTTTACATTATTATTATTCTTTTTCTTCTTCTTCTTCTTCTTTTTCTTTTTGGGGGGGGGTTCCTGTACACAGCTGCCAGCGGTTGGCTGCTTAGTGCTGATAAACTGCAGGCAGCGATTGCCTGAAAAAGATCCAGTTTGGCCTCCGCTCCCCGGCAGATCTGGATTCCAAAATCGGTTCTTTTTCAAAGACATACGTCTATATGGGTCACAAACGACAGGGGGCACTTCAGCGGCAGGAGAGTGTTGGTAGGTGTTTTGTGGATAAGGAGGCCCACTTGTATAAAAGAAAGGCGGCGTGGCAACTTGTGTAGACGTCCAGTGAGAACTTGAAGCAGTGCCGTAGGAGCCACTGTGGTAGGCAGTGTACTGGCAGCTTTGGTAGAAACTGTTTTGTGGAAATGCAGGAGGAGCAGCGGGCTGGCTATACGTATGGTTTTGTTGATAAGAAAACATTTCTTTGGGGTTTTTTTCGTGGTGGTCCCCGTAACTCGGCTCTTCTTTGCGGTCCTCGCTACCGACATGGCAAGCCAGTCCATCTGCCCTCCTGTCACTCGAACGGCGACCGCATTCAGACCGTTGTCTGCTGTGGGAGGACCGACGGCGAGCAGGGTTCGGACTATTGCTTCTGGAGCTTGATCTTGAGGAGGAGGAAGACGAAGAGGAGGACTTACTGTAATGTCTTTGAGGAGCCCTCTGCCGAATCTCCTGCTCTAGTCCTTTGCCTTCGTGCTTCTTTCCATACAGCCTCTCCCGAGTCCGGTCTGCTAATTTGCTCATCTCCTCTACTTCCAGGCTCAACCCCAGAGATTGAAGAATGTTCTGGAGATGTGCACGCTGCTCGTCCACCTCTGGTTTTTCTTCTTCTTCTTCTTCTTCTTCTTCTTTCTTCTTCACTGCAGCGGGAGACTTGGATCGACTCCTCTCCTCGTCGTCATTAGCGGGCGGGGAAAGTCTCTCACCGAGGGATCTCTCTTGACTGGGCTTGTCACATTCCCCTTCTTCACCGTTGGCCCGATGGCAGCCCGGCACTGAGGCTTCACTATCGGATTGCTGGCTCGCTCTCCTGAAGGTTGGATCTGACATGCTCTCTACAGCAGGAACCTCAACGTTGAGGAGCTCCTCACCTAGAGGAAGATCTGGATGGTCATCGTTAACAATCCTGCTGAGGAAGTCCATGTCCACTCCTTCGTTGAGAATGCTGAGGAAACGCTGGAAACCCTTGTGGACGACATCCTCGTTGTCTGGTGAAGAGTTGCTTCGGCAGGGAGCAGGCGGTGTGAGGTCAGGGGCCTGGGATAAGTCACACATACAGAAGCATTACTCTTCTTGTATAAAAGGCACTGTCTGTTAAGACATCTTGACTCCAGTTTGAGATAGATGCTGCGGTCATTTGGACAGAAGCTATTCCTTGTAGAAAGAAAATATAATTTGGGATTAAACCATAACATTAATCTCATTGTAATTAACACCGACGACCAAGTGCAGCAATAGAGGTGGTGCCGCGGCACCGCCTACCAGCCTAAAAAAACCGCTAGGGGGGACACAGGTTTGTGATGGGAGTTGGCAAAGGGGGGCAACAAGGTTGCCGGGGTTACAAATTGGGTTAAGACAGAGCAATGGTTCCTATAATGGGTAGTAGAGAGGAACAGATCTTCCGGAAAGAGTGGTAGGAATTGGTGAAACATGGAGCAAGCCTAACCATTAAATCCGCCTGTCTTCCCCCAATATGACCTACATGCTACCTGGTCCTACACCATTAACACTAAAACACGACTCAATGGGTTGTAAAACCAGCCTCGAGGCCCCTAGCGGCACAACCAGGTGCTGCTGTGTCTGGCAGCAGTGCTTGAAAGGGGTGGAAGAGTGTCAATGCCCTTCCTCCTCACGACAACAGAATTTGTCCAGAAAGCAGAGTTTCATACCAGACTCATCAGATTCAGGCCAGAAAGCTGGGTGGGTCACATGATTGGAAAATGGTGGCGGACGCAAGCAAGAGGCGCTGCTTCACAACTGAGATGGAATCAAAAAACCTCAGGACATTACAAACCTCTTCTCTTGCTGGCAAAAAAAATGAATCGCTAAATCTTCTGTGCTCAATCAGTGCCTTCACTCTGAGCTTCAGAGGATGGTCGTCCCGCAGCAGACCATTTTTAATCAGGCTGGATGAGTTCATTCTCTCTTTGGGTGAACGGACCTGAGAAGAAAAAGCAAAACAGAGAACAGTATATTAATTGGAGAGTTGAGAGTTGGCCAGCGCAAGCTGAAAATATTGATTTTCAAAGTAAAATAATGATCAAAAACCAGCTGAGACGCGACAAGCTTTTACCCACCGTTGACAGAAATCCCGAAGGATGACGTCGTTGCAAAATTAAATTCACGCGGTCTTTCAGACTGGCAACGTTGCATGTAGCCGATTCATTCAAGAAAAAGTCTGGAGAGGTTGTTTTCTTTAAAAGCGGTTCAACTGTTTTCAGGGCAATAGCAGCTCTCTTAAACATAATTTGCTCCTCTATCTCTCTGAGCTCTTTCCGCTTTCTCTTGAGCTCTGGATCCTCTTCATCGACTTCAAGTGATTCTCCATCCGGGTCCTCAACTTCAGCGTCCTTAACGTAAAAGTTACGGGAGGGAACACGGAGCTCCTCCCTTGCCACATTTCCTCCCACCAAGCTTTGAGCTTCATCAACAGTGCGTCTTGCATATCTGCAAAAAGTGCGCCACTCCTCACTGGTGATTGAGTCGACCCCCCGACTGTTGACCTCAGTCCGGCGATCTGGAATCAGACTTCTCTGCAAAGACTCACTCGCAGCGTGATTCCAGTCAACTGGATTCATCCTCACACCAGTTTATGCAGTCAGTGCTCTGCAAAGTAAGATCATGGTGGAGGAATTAGTGACCAGTGTGGTATAATAACTTAATGATAGTTGTATACATAAGGCTTTGTTAATGTGGTGGAAATTTAGAGTATAGTGTTCCTGTGAGAAATCTTGAGCTGGTTTGTGATTAACATATAGAAACAAACACGAGCTGTTTGTTTAAGAAAAAACAAATGGATCGATCCAGAACAAATGGGTTGCAGCTGTAAAAACAAGACGCCACATTGAAGTAGTTTTGGGTCACAGAGTTTCAAGAAGAGGTCGCAGTGTGCATGAGGTACATTTTGACACGATCAACGTTATTCTTTCATCAATCCCCCTACATGGGAGCTGGTAACGTTTTCAGTACCTCAGGTCTTCCACTTGGTGTCCACTGACTAGTCTAAAAGACCGATCCTTGCATTTGTATTAGAAAACCCAACTTCTATACGAAATGCTGTGAAATAACACGTAATGATACGCGTTGGGCTAAATTACAGCCTGTAAAGTGACTGGCGTTATAGGTTGTTGTCAGTTAGCTTAGCTTGACTGTTTACCTGCTGACGCGGGTCGAGCTAGCATCTCCTCTCTCCCACCGCGCAAAGGGCGTTATTTTAGAAGGACGTTACTTCGAAAAACAAAGCATTGAGGAGTGAACTGTCAAAACTGACCTTTAGTGCGCTTCAGCAATAGGTAAGGAAACCCGTAGTTAAGTGTTAAAAAAACACAACAGCTAGAAGTAAGGAAGAGTGGCCGAGGAAGGCTCTGCGTGCTGCGGTGCTGGCGGGTGGAGAGTAACAGCGCCTCCTGCTGGACGGAGGCCCGACACCGCAGCGAATGAGTAAAGGCCATCAACTAGTTAATGTAGACGGGTACCAGTGATGTTCTGGGCCATTCGTATAAAATGCCAGATTTTATTGTTCCCATTCAAAATGTTTTCTATTGAACCCCTGCCAAAGCTAAATAGAACTTTGGTCTTGTGGAAACAAGAAACAAAGCTGCCTGACTTACAGTGATGCCATCCTGTTCTCACTGCTTTACACTGTTACATGCAGACGATGCCATGCGACATGTGGATACTATATTCAATGTAGTCAACCTGCTTGTTATAGAAATGGAAAAATGTTATTGAAACATACCAAATGCTAACAATTTGTTATGTTTCAACATCCTGATTTCTCCCATTCTGATGTTGCATTCTTCTGTACAGTCTCAACTGAAGGTTTTTCATAGCCTGTCATGTAGGATAATTTCGACTTCAGTACATCCCATCCAGTTCCCTTCTCTAAGAATCTTCTTCCTATATAGATTGTCAGGAAAAACTGGTGCAATTAAATGTTTTTTAGCAGCTTACATACAATGATTGACTTTAACATTATGCTAATCAAATATTTACAACCCCTTTTCTGCATGTGTACAAAGAAGAAAAGAAAATAGCTCAGCTATGATTATAGCACATTTTTTATTAAATTTAATGTCCAAAACCCTACAGGGACCAGACTATGGTGCTATTTGATTACAATATTTCAACAAAAGTGATAATTGATCAAATCATGAATAACAAAATCAATCAAATAAAGATGTTCAGAGATCAATAAATACTTTATACACTGTGTTTTTCTTCAATGTAACATTGTGTTGCGGTTATAAGGACAATGGACTCAAAGACCCACAAACCAGGTTTGCCAATAAACCGGTTCATTTCCGTGTCAGTGGGATTTTGTCAATGGACGTGTGAACTCTGTGAAGGCCCTGCAGTTTATTTTATGAAGACCTTTTACAAATCTCCAGTGGGAAAAGACCATTTGCATTACAATTGTCAGATTTCCGCCCCCTGTGCACCCATCTTCATCCAGGTTGTTTGGTTTCAATGACTTGCAAAAAGCGAGGCCTTGACAATGGTTTTGATTTCTGTGTGTTGTTCAGTGGTGGATTGGGGTTATTACCTGACAAGTTAAAAAAGGGTGGATTGCCAACGCGCTGTGGGAGTAAGTGTCTTGCTTGAGCCAGTACTGCTGGAAAGATACTCACAGGTGGTGCATGGGGGAATGGGAAGAAGGGAGGCATATGAAGCCCGGTTCCAAGGTGGGGCAAGTTAGGAGGAAAGGGTGGGTATGAAGCCGATAAGCAGTCTACTGGCGAGTACACCGGCATTGCAGGTGTAGGAGATGGCTTTAAGAAAGTGTATGCTAAATTTTGAGAAAATGCTTGAGGTGCAGCAGTGCTTTCCTCAGACCAAGTCTCACATTTGTCACTCTGCTGTAAAGTGCTACTTGTGCTCTTCCGGCCATATTCAACACCCTCATGCACCGGGTCTTGGTGTACCTCGGTTACATCACTCTGAACGCTGTAAGAGTCTTTTTTCTTGTAATACTTCTGATTTAACGGACTATAACTAGATCTGCTTGATGAGGATGATGATCGACTGTCAGGTCTTGGTGAAAACGCTCGCCTGGTATCCATTTCCCTGCTTTCTCTACGATTGCAGTCTCTATCCTTCTTTCCATATAACCGCTCTTGGATCCGATGAGACATCTGGCCCAGCTCCTCAGATCCCAAATTCATGCCAATGGCTTGCAAAACACTCTGCATTTGCCTCTGCTTGTGCTCCTCTTCAGGAGACAGTGTTATATTTTGTTCTCCTGAGGGGCACTTGGATCTACTGTTGGAGCTTAAGTTACTTGGTTCTTCGTTGCCCCTTTGCACAGACTTTTCGTCAGACAGAGACTGCCTCCTTGGGCTAAATGACCGCTCACGAGGCTGTGAAGAAGCCAGTCTCTGAAATCCTTCGCTGTCACTCCAATGGCCGGTATTTTGGTGGCTTCCATGTTGCCCTTCAGCATAACTGGGAGACCAGGTAAAATCAGTGTTCACGAAAGAAGGAGGACTTGACCGATCACTCACTTCTGTTGAGGACTGAGTCACTATTTTGGTGAGTGTGGCAACATTTACACCCTTGTTGAGCACATTAAGGAAACGCTGGAAACCCACGGTTGACTCCTGCTCTGGTACAACAGCACTTTGGTTGGTGACATCACTCTCAAACGACTGATGGGAAACACAGAAGAAACTGGTTTATGGAAACAAGCGTGCATTATTTGGTTGATAAAGAAACATGTGCAATATGAAACATGATCTTTGAGAAATTTGAAGCTAAAAACCCACAAAAAAACACTTTGTGTAATGATTCTACAGCTTGGGTAATGGTCTCCAGAAGTGTAAAAGATATCCATCCGATATTATGTAGAGATAATAAACAACCTATTTGACTCTGATCCAATGCTAAATCTGTTGAACCCTGCACTGCTGCAAAATTATAATAAACCCACCTGTCCAGAAGATGCACTCAATGGAAATCGTCCTATATTTTGACGATACTCCTCATGATCCAGGGAGGGGCTGTCATTCCGCACTCTGGGTTTGACATAACACTATTGGACATGGAGGAAAAAGTTATCAAACTGCATTAAAAATAAGATTTCACATTCCTTACAGGAACACCAATTCATTGTGACCAACCTTCTTGGAGCGATCACGTGACTTCCTCTCTTGTGAACGATCTCGGCTCCTTTGGTGACCCACTCTATCTTTGTAATATCCAGACGATTGTCTGCAGTTATCCTGTTGTTGCCTATACGTGAACTCATCATGCACATATTTGTGCCTGGAGTCTTGAGGTGTTTTCCTGTGTTGGAAATCCTCTTCTTGTGTTAGCATTTGTTTAAAATCCTTTGTCACGTGCGCCCGTGAAAAACTGTTGGGTGACCGCCTGGTTGTATCGTTCTCAGGCTCGAGCCTGTACCTGTTACCATCCTCTGCATTTCTTTGACTTTTCTTTTCAAAAGAACCCCAATCAGGGGAAGACATACGTCTCCTCGCTGAGGTCTTTCTGCTCAAGTCTCTGTTCAAAGAGTCTTCGCTGTACAGCATCTTAGGCGAGTCACTGTATTGTCTACTTCTGCTTGTCCGCTCTTTGCTACTACAGCCATTTCCACCATATTTCTGATATGAATCCTGCGGTGGATCTCTCGGAGGTTCACGCCTTTCTTCCCATCTATGATCATAGTCGTCCTTTAGCCTTGGACTTCTGTCGCGGTATTGCCGCCTGTGACTGTGCTCAGACCGCCTCGATTGCATAATCTCACAAGCGCTCCTGCAGCAAAGTGGATGTCAAAGCCTGCAGAGAAAGGAAAAAAACTTTAAAGTAAATACAAGAGTTCAGACAGATTTATATGTCGAACATAAATGCATGTTTTTACATTCACTTATATCACGTGGATTTCTTGCAAAACGGCGTACAGAGGACTAAAAGTATACAATCAAATAATGCTTGTAGGTCAAGCCACTTCAAATGTGTTGCGATGTTTAGAGGCGTTAACAAAAGTGCATGTAGAAACATTTACTGTCAGTTGTCATAAATCATGGACAACCGCTAGTAGTGTTGATTTCAGATTAAAGAAACGAATGTCTTCAAATACAAATATATCATTTCTTTATAGTAATGTTAACTTTGGTTGGCTAGCTAGTTAGCTCCACTGGCTATTTGCTAGTGGGTTTGACGCTAACGTTACACAGCAGCAGATGGTATCTGCTTTGCGTTTGTTGGCTTTTTAGAATACCAAAATAGGCGAAATCCCCAAACGGGTTTTTAAAATTCCACCTACAATCAACAAATTTGCACGAACCCCCTCGTCCTGATGTTTTTAATACGTCGAAGCTCGGGTGCGGGGAGCATTAACGTAACGTTAGCAACACTCACGTTGAGTAGCAACCCAGCGTTACGTTACCTTCTCCGCCGGACGACTCCACTTTCTTTAAGAGGATAAACAGCCGAAAATAATTAAACCAGCCTGGCCTAAATTCAAAAGTTCTTACAACAACGAATTGTTTAGCGTTTGGCTAATATTTGTGGCGAAGTTGGTGCACCTCGCTCACCACCAAGCCGTCGGAGTGCCCCCCAAACACAGCAACACGGAATGCGATGACACCCCCCTGCTGGATGGAGTGTGAACAGCCGGCCCTTTATTATTTTAGTGGGTTGGAATGTCAAACAGCGGACACTGGGAAACGATCTAGAGAGGAAATCCACCAATAAAGTCACATGTAAGTTAAATTTAAAAAACGCAAATTAGGGTCAAATACTGCTGGGTTTTTTTCTTTGGGGATTTTCACCGCTTGTGGTTCAAGAAGGGGGTTCATTTCCACAATTTAAACAGCTGCACAATGTTATATAGTAATTTATAAGTGTGTAACGGTTTATCGGTATGTACTAAGAAGTCACTTTGAAACGTCACAATAGGAAGTCACCAAGTTGTAGTTATAAACAATTCAACAAATGAAAGTAAGAGTGAATAATCAGTGAATAGTGACATAAATCCACAAAATAATCCATACTCCACTTTTAGTAAGTAAGGTGCAGTGATGATGAAAATAAATAGCAGTAGTACCAATCATTAATGATGCAAACAGCTGCACAAATACAGTGGTTAGGAAGCTCACAGCCCTCACAGAACAGACTATGCACATTCTTTATTGGATCATTCCCTACAGGGAGCCACAAATTACCCCCCATTCAATTGCAACAACAAACTAATTGTTAAACAAATTCCTCACTCCATTTGTGCAACTTCACATAGCTCTACATAGGCGCTTGTGTAGTCTACATCATTATACTCACTAATAAAAGTGCACTCATTGCTCCCCGGGTGATAGAGACGATACATTCGCTCCAATCAGTGCGGTTTAGAGACTTAGTGTGTGTTAATGATAGACGTGTGTTAATTCAGTGAGGCAGAGCCCAATCAGAGGACAAACACAGCCTCTAACAGAGCCGGGGCCTTCTCCTGAAACTCAACCAGCTTAAGAGATATCCACCTGAGGGCGCCATAGAAAAACGTTAAACACAGCACACAGGTTAAGCACCTAATGAGATATGCTGGGAACACAGTCACAAAAGGTTGTTTCTCTCTTATGTTGGTTTTAGGTGCTTTACACTACGAAAATTGTCAAAGTATTGATGAAGAAAAACCAGCACGATCACTGTTACAATGCCGCAGCATGCTGGACAGGTTTCAGCAGTCAAGTTCATTGAGATTAATTTGAATTGTCTCATATTCAGTTAGGGGGAAATAATATTTTTAAATACAGTGTATCAGCAAAGTCTGTTCTTTTTCCACATACAAAGGCAGACTTCCGTAATCTAAAAAATCATCATCCAATTGTGTTTGACACAGATGTTATAATGTGTTTTCTTAAGTTATGCACGACCCTACATTAGTTAACACAACACATAGAAATGATTGACTCAACTCTTCCTACAATTATTTACTGGTTTATAACCTAACCCAATGTGTTCCTTAATCCATAGTGTTACTGAAAGTGATTCTATCTATCGATGGGTATTTATCACTATATTACAGTTATTGTGTCTTCAGGGTTGGAGCTTCTCTGCTCCCAAGTGGCAGTCGAAAGTTTTCCCTCAACAGCAGGAACACATTCATGAACAACCCACAACCCCAAACGGCTCCCTAAGCCTCCCACCCCCTCACTGGTAGAACTTTATTTCTGTGTCCACGGTATCAAAAAACAAGTCCCCCAGTTCTTCTCCTGGTATCTCTCCACTCAGCATGGCTGAGATCTCGCTCAGACACTGCGACTCCAGTTCCCTCAGGATCCCAAAGACAGATGAACCCTCGTCCTGGCAAACCGAGAGAGAGAGAGAGAGAGAGAGAGAGAGAGAGAGAGAAAGAGAGAGAGAGAGAGAGAGAGGTCAAACAAAAGCAATACATTTTGCATTTTGTATGTTTTAACAGAAACAAGCAACAGAGTCATTGACCTGACGCCTAAACTACGGCCAAGTCCAACAACAAGTACATATAATGTTACATAGTAACAACATGTACATTTGTGAGAATCCAGATTTCAGTTTCAGTCTTTTGAAAGTCTGGAGCTAAACTCAACCAGGCGTTAGTGGTGGGAGATGCAGACCAAATGACAGTAGTTATCTGTCAGCTATCACACACCTCCATTTACTCTACAGGCTAATCTTGGTGTGTACAAACTCTTGTTGCTCACCAAAACAGCAGGTAACAGTTGCGTTCCAATTCCATACTACATACTGATGATGAAACACATCAGTATGTACATGAAAATGTACTATATACCAATTGCCAGAGTAAACTGTTTTGCAGCTGGTAATCTACCATCCAATTTAATCACGGGAAAAATAAATCTATCCATTTAACTGCTATCTATAAAATATAAAAATCCATGCACCTTAATACATTAATACAAATGTCCACAGCCAGACGAAATCGTAAAATAATAAAATTATTACACGCTGTTTAAAACGCATCACGTTGGCTAAACGGCTTAGAAGGAAAATGTCACTTTGTTTTGAAGTGCTAATCCTTCCCGTGAGGTAGTCGTGATTAAAACCCTGCTTTTTGGCTTTGAACGTGTCCTTGTACTGTGCTCATTTTTAGCCTGCTACTCTTGCCATGTGTCTTCTGTGCACTAACTTGCAAGGCCCTGGTTTGTTTTACTCTGCTCAGTGAGTCTAAGTTGGCTGTAATTTATCACCAATAACTGAAAAACAATAAAATCCATTCTGCTTTGGATGTATTTTAAAAAATGAATAAGAGCTTCCAACTCTGCCAGAATGTGCACATCACAATCATTGACCCAGGTCGTCCATCAGTCCCCACCGGGTTGTTCTCCATGGTGCTGACCGCCTCCTGGTGGGCCTTGTACAGGTCATGTCTTCGGTCCACCTTGCTCTGAAAGCGAGGCTGCTTCCTGACGGGGTCGTCTGGGCCAAACTGTGGGGAGACCACCCTCAGCACCGGGGTAGAAAAGTCCGAGAAGATAAAAGGCTTGAATATAGACCTAAGAGTAGGGACAGGAAGGAGAAAAAGAGACGGAAACTCCCATCAACACAAAGTCAAGACAGAACGCAGAAAAAGCTAAAAAGGAGGAGGGAAAGAATGGAGGGTAGAAAGCAGGGACACATGTGTGGGCTTAAGGCCGTGTTCACACTTGACCTGTCTTTTTTTAATTAGAAAAACATTTTTGAGCGTGGGAATTCTGCAACATCAATAACGGGAATCTGTCTAGCGATACATCATCATCCATTGGTTATCGACTACTTATTGTTAGCTAGCTATTATGGCGAATGAAATGCAATCACTTGCTTTAGCTTTAGTTTGAGGAATCTGTGAACAGCCGTTTTTTGGCTGCATGAAATCCTCCTCATAGGGAGTTGCAGCTCGCATTCCGCAACCTGTTTCAGGAGCTCCGCCCAGGCGACGCTAGGTTTCCTTCTTGGTCTATTTTGAGGGAACCGGTAATTGAGGTGGTAGGTAACTAGGGAAGGTGCATGCGTACTTACCCTCCTCGTCCTGATTGGTCAACTGTCAGAAAGGCACCTGATATCACCTCTACTAAAAAGTGGAGAAAATTGGGCGGGGCGCTATTTTAAAAATGCATCTGCTTTTTAAAAAAGTGTGAACACGGCCTAAAGGTATTTTCTGCGTTTCATGTTTAATTGTGTTGACTGTGTAATGTTAATTTTTCCTGTTTGGTTGAAGTGTGTTTCAAGTTTTTAGTCGGTGGTGTTGTTTTTAACATTGAATCTGAACAAATCACGATATTAGTGAGCATTTTTGTGAGCCAATAGCGGCTAAAGATGAATGGATTTTGCCATTGGTGTAAAGATTTGTAATTCTCTTTAGTTTTTTTATTTTGTTTTCTAAACTTTACTCGGGTTGAAACGCGGTCAAGGCGTGTTTAAGGTGTGACATACTTGCTAATTGCTTGCAGCGAAAATAATTATGCCTGTAGACTATGGAATGTGTCAACTAAAGCGTAAGACGTTTGGATTGTGCAGTGGAACTTGCAGTCCTTGCCTGTAGTGATTCATCAGTAAAAGGCTTAAATAATGTGTTGTTTATATATCCCCCTCTCTGTTAAAAAGAACAACACACAGAACGCTTTTTCTGCACTATAAGGCGCACTTAAAAGCCTTTAATTTTATAAAAAAACGACTTTACATATGGATCAATTGGTTATCAGTTGATCCATACTGGTTGTACACGGCGCTCAAGGCGCTCGGCCAAACATGCCAAAGCTCGGTCTACGACGGCGAGATGCTGAGCGGCGCTCAAGCGCGTGAGATATGGAGCTTGTTTCAGGGCGCGTCGGAGAAACCAAGCTGTTGTTCTCGCCGAGCACTTCATGAGATTAAAGAGCGAGAGACGGTGCCCTTTTCTTTACAGTAGCTGAACCATCTTAACGGGGAAAATAAGCTATTCTAAAGGCTGGCGCATGTTTCTGCTTCTGTGTCTGCGTCGTTGCGACGACGCACTCGTTTCAATTCATGGTTCTAAAGTCTTGCGTGTGTTGCAGAGCAAATCACCGCCAGAACAACAGGTGGAGTAACGTGTTTTTGTGAAAGACGACCTAGAGAGTCACGTCTTTGTGTGTGGAAGTCGTTGGTTTGTTTGTTTATTTATCATAGACTTTATTGCCCCGTGCATCGCCACTGCTGCTTTTCATCGCGGACACATTTGTCCCGTATTTTCCTCCACAACTTTGTTCCCCTCGACCGGCAAACCGCCGTTTGCGGAGATCTCCTTCCGTGAATCGGGAAGCCGTCCGCGCTTCCTTATAGTCCGCCAATGACGGTTTGTATAAGCGGTCATATTTACGCATTTCTACCGACAAAAGTTCTTCAATCTGATCTGTTTTCTTGTAAACATTCTTCCTTTTAATAATGGCGGTATTGTGCTATGAACCTCACAGCATCCATCGGACCCTGAAAGCACCCAACCAACGGGGAAAATAAGTTATTCTAAAAGGGGCTCTTGGCAGGCGGCGTGGCCGGAGAGCAGCCGAAGATTTAAGGCGTGTGTAAGTTGTTGTTGCACAGGTGTTCCGGTGTGGGGGCTTCTGTTGTGAAGGGGGAGATGGAAGGAGAGGAAGTTGAGGTGGTGTTCAACTGGGGGTGTGGTGAAAAGGGTGATAAAAATAAAGTTGCGGCCGGTTCGGCGCAGAACTGGAGCTCCGGGTTGTTTCTTTTGTTATTGACACGAAGTATAGGCGCACCCGAACCACTCGACTACACGTGGATGGCGAGGGGGGCGGCGGGAGCGGACGCACCTCGCAGCATCGATCGGACACCGAAAAGCACCGTCTCCACCTCCCCCCCATCCACCCGCCCCGACATCAAAACGTTTGACTGCAGTATCTTATGCGCCTTATAATCTGGTGCGCCCTATATATGAAAAATGATAAAATAGGTCATTGATTGAAGGTGCGCCTTATAACCCGGTGTGCCGTATAGTGTGGAAAATGCGGTACACTAATTGTAATTTCATGTTGTGATACTCATGGTTTATTACGGTCTTAACAGCTGTTGATAGTCTATTCAGGGACGTACCGGGAGGGGTCTGGGGTGGCGGTGAAGAAGTGGATGCAGGGCAGACTGGGGTCTCTGGGCAGCACAGATACCATGCTGCCTGTGGTGCAGAATCCTCCAGAATCCATGCAGATACCGCTGGGCTTGTCCCTCAGAATAGACATCATCACAGCTGCCGTCACTGAGCCTGAGACCAGAGAAAATGCCGGAGAGACGAAAAAACAGTAACTATCATGTTCAAATGACTGCTGTCTATGACTGAATGCTACATGGACAGTAATGCTGTAAAGGGGGGTGTCCACAAGCATTTTGGGAAATGTAGGACTCGACCACCCTCACCGTCGTGTTGCTTGAGTAGCTCTGTGCCTCCCTTGTAGCGCTGTTTTGCCAGCTCCATCCTGGCAGGCGGGTTCTCGGGACTGAACACCCGTGAGAAGTTGAACTCACTCTCGCCGTCCCACCAGCCCTGAGCCTGGGCCGCACGCCGCAGCTCTGGGTGCTCTGCGGTGACCTCCGCCCCGATGGTCAGCTGGTTGGAGATGTTCTTCACTCCCTCTGGGAAGAGAGAGTGGCCGTTGGCAGGTGAAGAAGGAAGTAGTGCAATTTGTTTTGCAATCCGAGAACTCAATGCATAATTCTTTTTCCTGAAAACGCTTTTAGCTATGCTAGTGTTTGTAGGAATAGAAGTGGCGGTCTGCCGGTTGGTCCACAATGGAGGTCCGTTCTGAAGAATCTGAACTACTAGATACGTAACAAATTTTAGTGATCCGTGACTCCATCTGGAAAAATTGAATTTGTTTAGTTTAATTTGTGTTTGGTCTACGTCCACAGCCTGATCAGTAATTTTGTAAGTGTGATGGGCAATGCAACTTATACCAAGGCAACTAAATGGTGCCTTTACTTGTTTTACTATTTTCAGCCCTGGATTAATACATATTTGAGGGTATCGGGACTCTGGACTTTTTAACCATCCGTGCTTACCTGTCACTTTTTGGGCCACCCACAGACGTCCAGCGGTTTCCAGGACCCAGGCCTCGTTGCGGTCCACCAGGAGGAAGGTGTTGTGGTAGCTGAAGGCCACGGGGTCCTCCTTGCACTGCCCCCCCTGGCCATGCTGCTCCAGGAGACTAGTGATCACTGTCAGTGCCGACCAGGCACTGTCGCCACGCTCCAACCCCAGCCTGGTGATGACGAGTCATGCAAGATTACTTAAAACAACAACGTTCACCACAGGCTTTAGTAATGTAGTTAGAAATGCTATGCTTTGATATTTAGGCATGTATCTTTCTTAAGTTCTTAACCAACTCTGTAGACCAGTTAAGCCTGTAGGCAATGCTTACACATACTACACTGCTATTTTCACACGCACAGATGAATACATAAGTGCTACTGTTTTCAACAGCATTTACTACACATATTATAAAATGACAACCTACACTCCGATCAAACCCTAATAGGTTTAAACTGTATTTAATTAGGATGCAGTGAATAGCTGATTCCAGTCAGCTCTGGAGATTTTAATTATTTATTGGTAACATTAACATTATCTTTTTTTAAGCAATACAGAATCAAAAGGTTTTCTGTGCTGACCTGACAAGGTCCATGCCAAGCAGAGCATCTCCGGGGCAGACAGGCTCCCTGGTCCAGATCGCCTCATTGCCAATGCAGACCCCCTGGTCATTAGCTCCCATTTCAGCGCCCCACATCCAGGCAGGTTTGCTGAGGACGACGGCGCGGGTCCGCTCCACCTGAGGGATCTGGATGTATGTGCACTGTAGAATAAGAAGAATGCTGTGGTTCAAATTAAGGTCCCTTTGCATTGCACAAACTACTTCACTGAAATATGTACTTTATGCGGTATGTAAAGCTGAAACACGTGTCTGTGACAAACTTTCACATAAGTAAAATGCAATGGTCAAAATCCCTTCCTCTTGTCACATAAATGAACCAAATCATACTGATCTGATCAGTGATCAGGTCGATCAGTCAGTGTTTCTTATACTAACAGTATAACACAAATGGTAAACACGTGTTTCTACGTGAGTCCTCTGTATAATATTTTACCATGTTCACACAGGTTCATTTGGAATATTAACATATTATGGGCAAATATATGATTGAGGATTTGTTTTTAATGCATTTTCACCAATACACCGGGCCGTGTGCGTGTGCTGCACGTCTGTTAATATGCGTATTTCTTTGAATGACTCATGGGGCCGGTTTGGGACGCGTGGAGGGCAGGACCGCTTCACCTCCAGCGTGGCGCCTGCAGGGTGAGACGCTCCGGGGCAGTGGGCCACTTCTTGCACCTCGTCCCGGGGACGGTCTGCGTTCTTGCCGAAAATAACGTGGTCATCGCGGGAGCCAGGCGGCAAGGACACGAAACAATCACACGACACGGGGACCTCTGCCATCCTGCAGTTACAAAGAAACAGAACAAAAATGAATAACAACAGTCGTGTTTGGAGGAGGCGTTTAAAGTGGTCGCGTTTAAAATACGCACCCTGCTCGGACTGCCGAACTGGTCATGAGAGTCTGACCACGCGTTTGACATTCAGCCCGAGTGAGACTACACCCTGTTGACCATAATATGCATGTGTGCGCGTGTGTGTGTTTGTGGAGTCAAGAGGAAGAGTCTCCCTGTACTCCCCGCCCGGCTTTCAGCGGAAAAATCGAGATTCCGCCGGTGCAGCGCGCGTCCCGTTCACACAGGGATTAGGAGGCAGCACTTTATTGACTGTAATCTTCACAAATCCGACCGCAGCGTCGGTGTACCGGGGGCCACTCGTCGCGCGCGCTCGGGACAATTGAACCGCGTACAACCTGGAAATAAAAAAAAGCCCCGGAAAAAGTGCGCGGGTGGCGGATCCATCCGATAATAAGGGCCGCAAGCGCGCGCCCACACCGACGGTCACTGCCGGCGCAGCGACGCGCCTTAATCGTTGCTTCGTGTGGTTCCGCCATTTTTTTTTGGGTCATTTTTTAGTCTTGGGGGGAGGGGTTAAGTACAACCGTGAAGTTCAGGGTTTGCTAGTCTGGGAACTAAAATCTAATCTGCGAACGCCGCTACAGATTTACGTTTACCTTCTTCTGTTTTGTGTGTGTTTGTATTCGCCGGTGAGAGCGGGCGGCCGGGCTGAGAGGAGGAGGGCAGGTTGGAGATGCCGGGTCACGTGACCGAGCGATCCAAAAGGTGTGTACTTAAAGGTCTCGTCTCGTCTGGCCGCAAGCACGCGGCTCACCGTGTCCACGACCTGGGAACGACTCCTGCAATCGTGATGTGGCTCCTCGTCGGGAGTAGCTGCTTCCGCCGCATCACAAACCCATTTACTCTCAATCTTTTTATCTTCGGCTTCATTTTTATAATCGTTTCACCACATTTGTCGAAATAAAATAAGAATACAAATACTTAAAAATATTGGCCCTTTCATATCACAGCACAAGTTCATGTATTTAAGTAAATACAGGGGAGGATTTGACTGCTAATGTGCTACCTTTTCTCTCAGTAATGAAAACCTGTTCGTAAAAATGTATACAAAAATCTTGAACATACAAATTCGTAGTGATACATACGAAATAAATACGGACTGCAACTGATGACGTCACCCTATTCAAAGTGAATGGAGACCTGCACCCCGTAAACACACATTGCGAAGTCTAACGATGTAAAATAAACGTGTTATGATTGCATTTTTAACGAGAAATCAATGTTAACTTGTAAGAATAGAATACTAACCCTAACCCCCTCAAAAAACCCAACATGGCGGAGAGACGTTCACTCAAGAATCCGACATGGTCCGCCATGTTGTTCACTCAAGGGGCGTGTTTAACCACCGCCAGTTCGTATGTATTGTTACGAATTTCGTATACATTTTTACGAACAGGTTTTGGAGATTACGTTGCAGTAGTTGGTGGAGACCAAAGCAGAGCTATACAGGAGGTGAATGAATATTGCACAGGTGATAGAAACACAACACAAGGATAATGTTGCTCTTCTAGATGTAGTGTAAATGGGTAGCTTAGTCGAGTTGCCTCCAAGTGGCCCACAATTCCTGAATACTCTTAAAGTGAACAGCTCTTAAACGCTATCCATAACTAGCTGCTGTTGTGTCTGCTTAAACATTAAATCCATTGAATAGATGCATCATCAGTACAGACTGAGTAGGGCAAAACTTCTTTCCAAACCCAAATAAGCCAAATCCGACTGAATAATGAAGGGTATTATAGGGAAATGTTATGAGCACACATAGAATTTCTTTCACTTTCAGTGTGAATGAACAATGTGTTTTGTGATGACTTGGATCACAGCAACGACTGTTGGTGGTTAATGTTAAAAATGTTTCAGACAACATGGAGTCAAACTAATAACTTCCCCGGTGCTCACAAGAGTTGAGAAAATAACTAACCTGCCCGACTGCATTGCAGTGACGTCCAAATCAGACGGCTGTCGTGTCAGTAGTTATTGCTCATCAATATGCACGTCAGTTGTCCTCATTCCTAAAACTGACTCACGGTGGATCTTATGGCGGTGCAATCAGTTTTATGGCAGTAGAGTAATAACAGCTCACACGCACACCTGAGCGCATAGGGAACAGGGAGCGCCATCCAAGCCGATTTAAAATGTTTGACGTATGTTTGTGTTTTGACATCGAGCACCTGGGCCTTACTGGCATTCAGTTATGGCCAAATTTCTTAGGAGGTGTTGAGTTAGTTTTTGAAGCAGCTCGGTGGTGAGTGGCGCTCTCTCGCAGCCCAGCGGGAATGCTGAAGGCAACACGACTGAATACTTGAGAGGTTTCTGTACAGACAACCTGTTACCTGAAAGGCACCCGGCTTCTTCCACACCCTCTCCAGCCTTTCATCTCCTCCAGCATGCTGACAAGCACCGCACATCCTGTCTGCCCTCGCACACAAACAGTAAAAACACCATGAGAAGTAAACACCCACCTGAGCCAAAGGCAGACACACCCAAACGAGACCTTGCACACACACACACACACACACACACACACACACACACACGCTTCAATACAGCTGCAAGCACAGACACAGTTGAACTACAACCTGCTAGTGGGGGGAAGCAACAAATAAAATCAGGTTGATGTGATAAGTTGTGTGATCAACTGATGGAAATGGAGATTAAATCAAGTAAAACCAAGATTGGATTCCTTTACTTTTTTGTAATAATTTATATTTTGAACCCCAGCTCCAGTGTGGAGAAGTGACTGCACCAATAGCAGAGAAAGAAATTGAGACAACAAATCCGGATAACGCTTCAAATTAAGACTGTCTGTGTTTGTCCTTCTTTAAGTGGCTGTTTTGAGTTGCGTGGACTTCATGCCGTTTAGTGAACTCACATATCGACACACACACACACACACGCACACACACTGTGCTAAGCCAAATAACTCTCCTAGAGCCACGCAGGCATTGTGGCCCAGTTTGTAAACCCTGCCATGTGAAGCGGAGGGCCGGCTGGAGGAAGATGAGTGGGTGTTATGGGACGGAAACAGCTGGTGAGAAGCCCAGAGGATATTAATCTGAGGGGGGAGACAGGATGGCAGGAGAGGCCGTCTAATAAAGCATGGTATTACTGCAGCAAAGGTGTGTGTGTTTGTAGGTGTCTGTCTGTCTTCCTGAAGGATTACTGGTGATCTAGAAAAGAAAATGTAGGGACATTTGTGTCCATCTGGCTACTACCAACTTTAAGTTCTGCGTTTGAAAAGAACATTCAGGTTTGAGTTCTCTGTTCATAGCTGGTAGGAAATCTGTAATCGGCTCCAGTTCATCCAGTTAATCCAGCAAGGCGCATTTCAAGTTTTACAACCCTTCACACACACACACACACACACACACACACACGCACACACAAAAAAGGCTTTTTGAAAATTAGATAAAATAAAGCATCCACATTTTCTCTGAGCAATTAAAGTTCCGGTTGAAAGGCAGAGGTGGAAGATGGGAGGGGAAGCTGGGCGGCATCAGTCGCACAGACAGTAATGACGGCGCCACTGCTGTTTAACAATCAAAGATGGGAGGCGGGGGATCGCAAGGAAGTCTCTCCTTGAAAAATACAGGTGTTTGGTACAATCAAAGCGCAGCTTGCAGAAATGACTGGGTTTGAAGTTTAAAGGGTAGGCAGGAGGAGAAGGGGGGGAGGCGTTGTGGTGAGTGAGTGAGTGCATGTATGAGAAAAAAAAAAGTGACTCAGTCAGAAGACGACTGTGGGCAGGTCTTTCCTCCGGGATTTTGAATAATTAACAAGGATAAGGAAGTTGACTACTAGGTGCTCACTGTTTACTTTGTTTAGATTTTTCCGCCTCTGGAAGGGAAGTGAGGCTTTAGCCGGCCTAGCTCTCTGGAGGCTGGCGTGTTGGCAGGAGGATTTGTCTGGGACAGCGGTGCGGTTCCCGTGGGACTAGAGAGGAGTCAAACCAGCCAAAGGCCGGTGAATCAGAACCAACTTTATATTGGGAGAATCTTGTATACAAAACAGCTGTTCTTTAAGAAAAGACCCAAGTTGTACACACAGAAATACAAATCACACACAAACCGTGAGCTTGTGAATACAGACTGATGTCCCGACTAATCACTGTAATTAAAAATTACAATATACAATGTTAAGGTATGCTCAGGCTGTGAAGGACATGGGCCATTTTTTTAAATTCCAGTAATAAAAACTATTATTTTATTGGCTTTCTATCATCTTTGGACTTCAGCTTTACATTCTTCGGAAAGTAATATATGTTCTTTCTTCCCGAAAGATTGATACAACGCTCTATATAGACTTTGTCAACTGAATGGCTCCGGCCAACGATAATAAATAAACAAAAAACTTATGACATGTAGGTGAATTTGACTACATTTTGACTAATTTCCATCACCCAGCTGGTATTGTTTTTACCTGTCGAACAGTGTGCATCATTAGAAAATAGAAAATGACCACAGAAAAGGTTTTGAGCACTGTTCCATATCTAGTATATGCATCTAGTTTCTGACTGGGACAGCGTCATAAATGTGCAGGATGCAGTCACTGAACTACGTGTTCATTTTTAAAGGAACTACATGTCTGTAGCCGAGCTCAACAATGTTCGAAGATGGGTGTGGTCCGTGCAAGAGGGCCCACGAGTAGGCGGGGTAGGAAGTGGTCGCAATATCGTCTGTGGTTAAAACAGTTTTCACCATTCTGCTCCCGAAGGACCGTACACACAATAGGACAATGAAAACTGCACTTTGAAGCACATTCATTTTTCGAAGGCTTCACGGCGCCTGGACGCCGTCGTCGTGCAAAGAGAGGGTACCTCGACTGAACAGCTGGATTGTACACGCACACAAATTCACATAAAAGATAAAATAATCCCAATTTAGAATATTTTCCATCTGGTGCTGCTAAACATTGTAATCCTGAAGTACAAATCACAAAATGAAACCAGAAAGAAAAACAAAATGAGTATTTTCGCTTGAGGTGAAGCTACTAAAAAAACAATTCCGAATTCTTGGAAAAGAATTCCACTATTCATGACGCTTTCAAAGTTCAAGCTGTGGCACACGCCCTGTAATACTCTGGACTACATCCAGCATCTGGATCTGCTTTATGTGTGCCAAGCATTTGTATTAATTGATTAGTACATTGTGCGTGCTTTCAACCGGTGATGAGTGACAACCGTTGGTGGAAAGGTGTGATCTGAAAACAACACGTCAAAGGTCAAATGTGCTGCAGTTATATAAATAGATGCCGTTTCACCGCTTTGACACGGCAAGGCTTTTGCTGGATTGATGACAGGAGGACGAGCTTCCTTGAAGGTTTTTAAAGAACTACAGACAATTTCATCTACAGAGCAAACGACAGAAAAAAATGCAAGCAGTAAATGATACAAAAAAAACCTGTCAAACAAGCTATCTAAACACATCTAAATCATTAGGAGAATTTGTAAGCCCCTTCTTGAATTTGCACTGTAATTTTATTTCAGGCAGTCGCTTTCTGATTGTGCTGCATTGTATTCATGGGGAAATATATTTAAAGATGTCTGTAAACAGCATTTAAACAGGGTGTGT